AAAACTGTAAAAAAAAGATTTTTAAGATGAATTAATTCTTATGTGCATAGGCAGGCATAACTATGTAATGTTTTAATTCGGTAATGAAAAGGCATATTATTTTTGTCAAACATTTTATTTCTCCACCAATTAGCATGCAATAGCAATATATTATGTTAATCCTTCACCATATTTCACATGCATACCATAAAATAGTTATAATCTGAAAATAAGACAGCTTTAAAATTATAATTTGAGATTTGTTTTCTTTGAAGTTAAAAATAATCTAAATATTAACATACCTTGCAAAATAATAATAATTAAACTATGTATATCACATATTAGTATTAAATTAAATTAAGAGAAAACTAGTTTTCTGTTTGTTGTCAATGAAGTTAACTTTTGGTCTAAATTAATAAAATCTGTAGGCTGTAATTCAGTTAGTAAAGGCATATTATTTTTGACAAATATTTTATTTCTTTACCAAAGGCATGCAATAAGCAATATAAACAGTATATAATATCTTAGTCCTTCACCATACCACCCATACACCCATGCCATAAAAAGATATAATCTGAAATATAGGACATCTTTAATATTAAATTTGCAATTTATTTTTTTTAAGTCAAAAATAATCGTAGTATTAACATACCTTGCAAAATAATTATTAATCAAACCATCTCTAATATTAAATTCAGAGGAAACAGAGTTTAGGAAGTACGAACTACGAAGTTACAAACCAAAATTTGACGATTACCAATGGTTCAAGCACTGGTTAACGTAAGCGTAACTTTTTAACGAACGTAAGCTGTCATGGATGGTGAATCAACACTTTTTTTGTCTAACGTTCGTTAGCGCCATATTTAACGGTTACGTGTCCGTCAAAATTTGTTGATGCAACCCACCCTAAAACACTTAAAAGCTAATCTTACAAATTCATGAATAGCAATAGTGATGCAAAAGGAAACATAAGAATTATACAAGTCACGATTGATCAGGATAGGATAAGGTTAAGAAATGATTATACAGAAGAGTTTTAAAAGATGACAGAGAGGTAGCCAATCGTATGGAGTCGGGCAGCCTATTCCACAACTTAATAGCGGATATCGTGAATGAATTGCCTAAGAAGGATGAAGTGTGGGATGGAATTTCCAATAAACATCTATTAGAAGAGCGTAACATATAGATAGAAGGACCTAAGAATTTGAAGTGATTTTTGAGATAAGAAGGGGTTTTCGGATTGAAAAGAATTGAGTATAGAAGTTGAAGAAGATGAGCGTGACGTCTGAATCGAATAGGTAGCCACCCCAGCTGCCTGCGGAATTTAGACACATGGTCATATTTTCTAAGACCAAATATGAAACGTATGCAGAAATTCTGCCGGCGTTCGATCTTGTCAAGTAGCTCTTCGTTCAAATCAGAGGAGGATGAGTCCGCATAATCGAGAATAGGAAGGAGAAAAGACTGCGCTAACATAGTTTTAGTAATTTAAAAAACTTCAATTAAAAAATAGATTTTTTTAATTGAAGTTTTTTCCATATGTATACACAAGTATGTGCCAGTCTGTGCCGTTCAATCTGAAAGAATTTCGCTGTTAATCGCACCTTGGATTATACGGACTGCGTGACTACAACTTTGCCTGAAGGCTGTTATGGATATATCTACTTAATTTTATTCTGAATAAATATGGATATAGTTAGATTATATAATTGGTAACTTTTTTATTTACATTTATAAAAAAAATTAAATCAATTAGATCACGTACATATTACGTAGCAATCTTGGATAAGATTTGATATATAATTGCTTTGCTTTACTCTTTAGCAATTAGTAAAAGTATTTAGTTGAGTTTTAGTACGTATGTACGATATCGTTCTCTAGTCCATTTTATAAAACGTCAAAATCATAGATATTGTTTCCAAAGTGTTGATCAGCACATATGTACTTTTATATCATTCACTGAGGCTTGTATAGTTGGAACTTACGTTAGTTTTGAAACTCAATAGCGCAATATCACATTGCGAGATACACAGTTACCCATAAGAAAATGCACACAGCACTTGTTACATGTATAAAAAAAAATAAAGCAAACATTTCTCTTTTTCTCGAATAAAATATATTTTAGGTGGTTGTGCCATTATATAAAATTACGGATCGTATATTATAGCTTTTGTTTATTGAAACAATCAAAACTATTGAGAGTTCGTTTTCCATTGTTTTAGATACGTCCGGTCCTTGTCATAAATGGACTATCTACCTTCCAGTACCTATTGAATGTTTTGTGAATCTCTTTTGTGACATTTTGAAAACAAATGAAGAACAAAATATTATAACTATGGGATTTTTGTAGTATATTTGACTTACGAGAGAGTACCCTTGTACAAGTCGGTGGTCTTATGTTAAAAAATAATCACTAATGGGGTCGAGTCTATTTTTATGTGGACACCAAGTAGATGTGTAAAGCAATGAATAAAAGCGAGCGTTAATACAAAACGAATGCCGACAGCCATTTCATTTCCATTCGTACTGCGCAAATGTCAGATGGCTTCCCGTCTCCCCGATTGTTAAATGTAACGAGGGTGCAGACGTCCGTTTTGAAAATATTATGAATGTTACGTGTATTGTGTTTTATACAGTTTTATTGAATTTTCTGCTGGCTTTGTTTGCGGTTATCTGGCCTGGAAAACATATTCTGGTATTGTTTACTCTTGCATAAAGTACCGGGTACTCAGAATGTACAAATAACAGATATACATTGATCTAGCGGGGCGGGTATTGAATTATTTATATATATTACGGGTATTATATTATTTTCGACTTTCCTGTACTTTACTCCACATAATGGTAACTTTTAAGTATAAAGAGTCACTAGGTGGTCTAGAAACGTTACGGCGCGTTACATGGGGGGGGTCAAAAATTTCCTGACGTAATACTAGATACGCTCCCTAATACTTACGTAAGTAATACCTTAATATGATTTAATCGCCGGCAGCACTTTGGTAAATATCTTGGTGTTGCTGGTGTCCTGTTAAGTTAAGGGCAAGAGTTGGCATCTTCTCAAAATATTAATATTTCAATAATTAAGATTCAATTATTAATTATTCGCGCTTTGATAGTATATTATATGAAAAAATATTGTATAAATCTCTTCACAGATTGCAGAGATATGAAAACTAAGAAAACATTTGCATTCGTTAAATATTCCCGGTGTTGTCGCTCAGTACTTGGTTTATATATTTACTGGACGACTGGCGATTCCCTAAAATATAATAAATTGATTCTCTAACCAGATACCTTAATCGTCGTGATTTTAATGTCAACTTGATTATGTGCAGCACATACGAAGCTTCAGATTTTTATCATTAAAACTATATATATTATATATATGTGTGTGTGAGAAACGAAATAAAAATTGTATACATGATTTTTTTAAATATATATTACGAATGAAAAGAGCCTACTTGTTTAAGATTTACATAGATTTCGCTCATCCCTGCTAGTTTTATACTCAGCCTTGGCCCCGGAAGTAGGTCGCTCGATTGTCATTACAATTTGTGCAGTCAGGGAAATGGGGGAACCGATGCTCGCTCTATGAATTTTTAATATTCAATTTGCAACTGAAATGAAATAAAGGTATAAGATATTACTGCGTTAGATTTATAACGAGTACGTGTTGTATTTCCCGGGAATGAAACCTTTGTTCTCGTCGCCACTCGCCAGCTTTATAAACTGCTCTATAAACTAGATTTCTGGATTGTTAAAGATCGTTGATTTTCATGGACTGCATAAGTCGCTCTGAATCAAAAGATTTGCTTGCTACTATTTAGTTGGAACTCATGTCTTATAATCACTCCTCAAGGTATAGAGAAATCCATGGTAGCAAAAGTTAAATTCACTAATTAGTAACGTAGTAAGGACTTTGATGTTAAACATTTCGACTATTATTTAGAAGCAAATATATATATAACTCTGAAATACATGTGTAGATAATACTAGTAAGGTGGTAGGATAACTTTGATTTCCAACAATAAATAGAAGTTCGTGACGTGTACTAATAAGATTATGCTGATCAGGTCATAGGGCTCGATTACGAGGCCGGGCTTATCGCTAATGAACTTGGATTAATTGAATATGTTGTTTACCTAGATGCCACATTGATACAAAGAGCATAGTTATGTTGTGACTAATATCGTATAAGGTTTTTGGCTCTGAATACTAATGCATTCGGATCAACAAGGAGTTATTCCAAAAGTTATAATTACAGTAGTTGAAGTATCTGCATTGGTTATGTTACGACTTGGTACCTAATTTACAAAATATACTAACGTGAGAAGCGTAGTACTAATTTTCAAGCGAAATTCCAGCTTATCAAAGCGTTAAGCCCTTCATATGTAATTAAGACACGTTAATCACCGTCCTCCTATAAAAGTATTTGGTATAAATTTTACACATTGGAGATTTGCAAGGTCAAGTCAAGAGCACCCCAACTGTTCGCTAAAATTGAACTTTTATATCTCCAGGGTAGTTACCCTTAATGGGGCTTAATGAATGTGAAATGTTAATAGTTATTTAGTGCTGTCAAATAGTCGAAAATAGTATGAACACATGTGTAGATGTTTTTAAAACCCAGCAGAAAGTAACGTACTCAGAAGAGTCGAACAACATCGAGCAGTTGATAAATATATTTTATTTGGAACACGAATGAGGCCGCAGCAAGAAGATATTTTACAATAATTAAAATATCTGAAGAATATCATTGTGTTTTGAAGGACGACTTGAAAATATGGAGCGCACTAGTTGCTGGATATTTTACGTTTTCGTGATTAATATTAATGAGTTCAATTGCAGTTGAAACCACCTTGGCCTGATTTTGTATTATGACCTAAAGAGAGACATTTTAATGTATTTTTATATCTCTGTCTAGTAAAGGTTCTACTATAGCCCGATAATAAGTCGCAATTCCTTATCTCTAGGTAGCAATTTCGAATTAATTTAAATCATAACAACATGCAAGTTTCAATATGAAAATATTAAAAAACACATTACACGTTACCAGTCAGTGACTGCATAAATTTTGTTTGAAAATGAAAAAAAAAATGTTTATTGTGTCTCAAATTTTCATTAATACATGAGTTAAACCCCGTAAGTAGTCAGAGACACTTGTGTTGGGGCTTCCCTTATTTATACAATATTGAGACAGTTGTTATAAAAGAATACAAAACAAAACAAAACCCAGCTAAGAAGCAAAGTCGGTTTGTTTAAACGTTTACATTGGCTTTAATTATCAAAATATGATTTTGTAAATTTATTTAATTACTATTATTTTACAGACGAGGGCGACGGCAGCTCGGACAGTCGGTCCGACAGCAGTGAGGACGAAGTTACAGAGCACGTGACGGCCACTCCACCACCCAATATGGCCGCTGCGAGGGCACAGGTAACCGGCCCTTTATTCACGTGTAGTTAGTAAGTCATAGACTTTTATCAAAATTGTATTTAAAAGTTAAATGAAATATCACATTGTTATGTATTATTATATAATATTTGTTATGTAATATAATATTTTTTATTGAACTCTGTGTCTTAGAGAGTACGATATACCTACATAATACTTAACAATTATTTAGATTATATACAATATTAAATAATAGTCTATACACTACACGATCAGCTGCTGCGAACTATAGGCACCGCCATATTGGCCTTGGCTGCTATGACGAGCGCCTTTCACTTTATCCCTACTCCGCGGCCGACCGTCACGCGACATGCGACACGCAGACGAAAAAGTTTGAGACGATGTAATAAAAGTTTCACTTTAATTAAAAAAGGTTTTGTATTTGAATTGTTAGTAGCAGTTACATCATCATGTCGCTTGAAATAACCGAAAATAAGATGGTCAAGAATTGGATAATCGTTCAAACCTCGTAAAAAACTACTCGTCCTTAAACTAAAGTCCTATATTACTACTCTTAAATCGCTAGGTATTAAGTTCAAATGGATTATTTAATTGATCTATTAGTGAATCAACTGCAAATACGGAGGTAAACATACACAACATGTGGTTTTAATTATAATAATTAATAACTATTAATTATAAATATGATCAATGAAAATTACAAGTTAAAGTTAAGTAAAGAAGCATCGTTGATAATAATAATAATTAATCATAATTTATTTATTGCAAGAATATGGTACAAAATGTTAAGGTGGTGTTAATAATCTCCACAAAATTGCGTTACGTAATACTTGAACGCACCCTTATTGAATAGTACATTTTTCTAAATGTAATACACTAAGTCGCTTTTTAAAGACTCCAGACGGAAGATCTTTTAATTCTTTTGGTAATTTATTGTAAACTTTAATTGCCATACAAAATGTGTTTTTCCGAAACAGTTGTTTACCTGTGTTGAGATATTTCAGGACTTTAAGCGGCTTTTGAATAGCAACTCAATTTGTCAATGTGTAAATAAAAAATGAAATGATAGTCCATTTTCCAGGTACCCACTATAAGTGTGACACCGCACAGCCCCGGCGTGTTAGATGACAGTCTTCAGCAGCTGCGGAGGCTGCATGCGGCTGTTCAGCGTATGAGGGCTGCCCCACTGCCCTTGCTGGTAAGGTTATTATTATAATGACGCGTATCGTGAAGTCACCCGCTCGTACTTCGCAAACGCGGTGTGTTATGGCCTAAGGAACACAAAGAATATGATGAATGACAAACACATAAATGTGTTGTGAGTTAAGCTAATTAGCTAGTTAGTAAAATTGTATTGTAGTCTTTTGAATATATAGAAAACTAGCGAACCCCACAGACGTTGTCCTGCGGGATATTTCAAGCGATTAGGATATTAAACAAAGTATGAAAGTACCGACTGCAGCGCCATCTGCCGGGCTTATTTGGGAATATAAGCCATCCAGGGATCAACCCAAACGCATACAAAAAAATCATTCAAATCGGTCCAGCCGTTGAAGAAGAGTTCAGTGACATACACACGTACAGTAGAATTATATATTGTAGATATCCTATCTTTTAAGTTAGATCAAACTGCACACGGTGTGCAAATTTGATTGAAATCGGTTCAATAGTTTAGGAGTCCATAGCGGACAAACAACGTGACGCGTAATTAATTAGTTTCAAATAAAATTTATTTGATATTCGAATTGCGCCTATCCATATATAATTAAATCTGTAAATGATGGTTAAAGAATCTTCAATAACATAGGTAGAGACCTTATATTACCTAAACCTGTAATTTTCCTGTACTCAATATCTTTTATATTTTAGGCAATAGGGACAAGTCGTTTAAGTACATCGTGTCCCTCGTTGTGTAAAGATGGGGTGGTGGAGACTGAATGCTCATCGCCAACCCATTTGGACTTTTATCCGCAAAGTAGGAAGGGTAGCGGTTAGTATTATAAAACAATATTTAATTAAATTAATCTAGTAAGCTAATTGAAATTGTCCGTTTGATACATGCATGAAACCTTATTTTATGACAAAGCAAAAAGTAATCTATAACCGTTATTGATTAAAAAAATCATTAAGAATCATTATAGCAAATTAATTATATGATTGACACGACTAAACACTAGCGATCTTAGCTGAGATGGGCTAACCATTAATATAGTAAAGATTACTTAACGAAATTTTGGGAAAATGGATAATATTATGCAAATTTTCGGCAACATCAAAGTCGTAGATATTATTATTACGTGTCCCCAGGTGAGTCCCGTCAATGGATGTCGTGGGAGAGGCGGGATGAAGGCAGACGAAGCTCATGGGCGGCACTGGAACCCGCGCCCCCTCAACAAGACACGCAGAGACATAGAGGGTAAGTTTACCACAAAACCGTTAAGAGACAATTAAGATGAAATAATTTATATTTCGATTAAAATCATTCTGATGCCGAAATTATTAAAGTAAACCCTTTAAAAAATAACAATGATTTACCTGATATTTGAAGGATCAAAATATATTTCCAGTGCGTTAAACGGTCACAGTGCCTCCTTATCATCAATGGAATCTGAAGGTGACGCACCACGACCTGTGAGACATTCCACGCACTCACTCAATGACAATGATCTCGCTGTAAGTAATAACGATAGTATAATGATTTCGTTGTTGTTGTCTTCTTATGTCACAGAAGATAGAAATGTTCAATTTACTTATTAATGGTTTAATTATACAATTTTATATTCGTTAATAAAATAAAAATAAATTACAACCAGCAATCTCAATTCGCTACAATTTTTACAAGGCAAGTCCTTTTGCTTATTAAAAAAAGGGTCCGGGTACTTATGTACGCGCGTAAGAAGTTATACTTCTTTGGCTTTATTTTTTTTAAATATAAAATAATTCATAATTAATTTAACGTTATTATTTTTTAAATATTTAGTGTATTATTCAATTATCAATTTGTATTAATAATAATTATTATTTATTATTTTATTATATTATTCATTCAATTTAATAACTCGGTATGTTTCATAACCTTTTAACTAAGTAACAATAGGTCTTTGTGAAAAGGTCATTTTGGTCATTCAAAATTCTTGGCATAGCTGCTAACTTCACGCATATTCTATTTCTTTTTACTTGTAGATTGTCTTATTCCCATCTCGCTCGCGTACGCTCGACGCCCGGCTGGTTTAAAAAGAATTCGTTAGTGGGCAACTTCATACTGATAATTTTGTGTCACGGTGCGCGCGCATCGTAAAATTTTACTCTCATCAATTTTTCATAAAGCGCCTAAAGAAGTATAACTTCAAAAATTTATTTATTTTATTTTAGGTTTATAAATAGAATCAGACAATAATTATACATACAAATATTACTTTATTACTAAACAACTTATAGAAGGAATTCGAAAAAGTAACGGCAGCACTCCGAGGCGCTAGTAGCGCGGTCCCGAGTAGTGGAAGCTCGAGGCTACTTGCGCGACTGCCGTTGCAGAAGAGCGTATCAACGCCCAGCATCGTTGCAGCGGTGCAACCGCCGCAGCCGCCGCCACCAGCTAATATGTAAGTATATCAATTTTAATTTAAAAAAACAAAGACTAACACCTTTCTTCATAATTATAACCCTTACATATCTATTAAATATGCCCCAATAGCTCTCGTGTTACTATGCAAATTTAAAAATTGGATAAAAATTTAGTAATTTTTTTTCGAGGATGTGTATTATAGTCTTAATTGACAATCTAAAGAAAGATTAATTAAATTTATTGATATATATAAGAATAGTATTCTCTTTTAAAAAAAAGATATACATTTCTTTTACAAACTTTGGTCGACTACATAGTATGTTAGACTATCTATGCCTTAGTTCAGGAAAGTTTAACATCGGTATTTCTGTTCTATACAATTTGATACAAAATTTTAAATTTTACAATTTGGACGCATAAAAGACAAATTGTATTTAAATTTAGAATATACCATTTGCGTACTATTTTTTTAAATATGTACGCGGCGCATGATTAGATTTCCAAATGCATGATTAGGTTTGAGTGTTGTGAACGCACAATTGGCTTTGCTATTTTTTGTTTTTAATGCACTAACTAAAAGTTAGGCTATTTAATATATTTTACATCAAATTGTTTTATTTTGTTTGTTTGCACTTTATGGTATTTTGTGACAGTTATACAACATAAATATTATACTCATTCCTTACCTTATAAAGACAACATTTTGTTAGGTAATTAATACTAAACGTTCTGTTCATAGACAAAATTCATTATGACAAAACCTTTTTCATAATGTTGATTTTAAATTACAAACATGAAAATTTTCGTAACTGTCACAAGTACTCATAAAAGTTTTGTCGCACTGCTTATCGTGGCATCTCGCTCGTGTTAGCCTATCAGCCGGTGGTGCGAGCGAGACAGAAAGCGACGAAGACGCTTCAGCTGCCACAGTAGGCGCGACACAACTAACTGGTCGGAGGAATAATTCGCATCAGGAGCATTTGGGGTTACATCGGCTGGCGTTTTTAGAACAGTGAGTGTATCTCTTTCTGGCGTACGATTATAACAGAGGTGCGAAAGAGAGGCTAATTTCGAATGTAGTATTTGCGACTTTATCCATTGCCGTTTTAGAACAGTAAGTGTATTTTCATTTACGTTAACGGCTTGAATATGGAATAGATAATAAAGAACTTTACTCGAATTCAAGTATTGACATATCCAAAATGTACGAACTATTTTTAATTTAGACCTTGTATATATATACAGGGTCTACATATTATACTTAAATCGCCTTTTCATCCTAAATGGTCTATTGCATGGAATTAGCCGTGGTGAGAACGAGATATTTTTAACTATATCTACGAAGTCTCCTTTGAAAATATAGAAGAGAAAATTGAGTATTTGAAGAATATAAAAAGTAAAATATATTACTCTAATAGTTAACATTCAGGTAGTAGATGGTTGGAATAACACTTTCACATTTTTTATTAATTATTACATTGCGGTATTTTTAGTGGTAGATTAATTGGCAAGGTTTAAATTGTGCTTGTTTAAACTATAAATCGTTTTGAGTGCATGCTTTGAGCTTTGCAGTAGTTTTTTGCTTTTAACACAATAATCGTATTTAAATAAAAAAATAATTTATTTTAACAGAGCGTCCTATGATCATCACGCTGAAAAGCGACGGAAACGAGGCAGCTTATTCTTTAGAAAGAAAAAGGTATGAAAATTCCTAATTTAGGTGTTGTTTGCATTTAAAATCGTTTATTAAATCACAAAAAGGGAAAAAAAAAAAAATTTTATTTTCAAAGGGGGAACGCTTCCGCTTCGGAACTTTGCCTAAAGGGAATCCTTTTAATAATATATTTTTTAAGGTTTCAGGTTAAGATTCAAATAATGTTATTTTTACAGTGCTTAATGAATGGAATAAATATTCGTTATAAACTTAATAATCATTTCATAATTTCGATCATGGTTGGTTGGTTTGAATATCCAACAAAAAAATAATAATCAAAATCGGTTCATAAACGACAAAATTATCCGCGAACACACTTAAAAAATATATACGGGCGAACGGAAAAACCTTGATCTTTTGAAAACTTTCTTTCTTGAAAGAATTTGGTACTAAGAAACATTTCGGCTTAATTCTCTTTTATCTTATACATAAGTTTCTTACTTACGCAAAAAGTATTTAGATCTAATGTAGATTGCTTCGTGTGTTATAGGACAAGTCTCGCAAAGCGGCGCATGTGTGGCAAGCGGCGGTGGCAGGTGGACACTGTGATTGGTGCCAGCGGGAGTTGTCTGACAAACCGGCACTTTACTGTGAAAGTGAGTAATAGAAACATTTCTACATATATTTAATTAAGATAATTAAAACAAAATTATTTGATTTTTTCTTTTGAAGAATTCTATCAATTTTGTCACAAAAATTTTAAACTACTAATTTGAAAGAACATCGCCGACCTAGTTCGTAAAGGTCATGCTTACAAAATGCAAAAGCAAACAGCATACTATTGACGTAAAAATGTTTATTTCCAGATTGTACCATGACTGTGCATCAAAATGTATGCAAGGACTACATTGTTGAGTGCAATAAACCAAAAACATCAAAGGTAAGAAAACATTCAAATATTAGGATCAGATTAATCGTGAATAAAATAATAAATAATGAAATAATAAATCATCAGCCAATGTGTATGTTATAATAGATTTGATCGACTTTTCAACGTTGACTATTGTTTTGGTATTTAATCATTATTAATAACTTCCAGACAACAGTCGGAAAATCCCTAAGTGCCAGCAGTGGCAAGAGCAGCAAACGAAGTTCTGTTTCCGGACAATCCCAGAATTCGAATAGGTGAGTTATTTGCCCCTTTAAACTTAATTTGTAAATAAAATAAATATCATTCAAGATAATATAATTTATATGGCATATGGTTTGCTGCTTTATTGTTACATTGCAACGATTGGCGGATTTGAGGGAGGGGATTTGCTGACGCAAGTTTTTGTTTGCGTTTGGATATTATGGGGAGTATGCTGTATGTTTTAGCAATTAGTGATCAGACAATGTTATTCTTTTTGACAACTGTATACGTGGAATAAAGGAAAAAATATCGTACCTGGTACCATATCTTTAGTCAAGATATTAAATCGCGCTGTACTAAATGATTAAGTACGTGTTTTCTCTCCGTGCACGCTTCACTGCGTACACGTACGTTTGTTAGCGTATACGTTTCAAAACGAAAATAATAGTTATGTAAATAATGCTAGTAAAAGAGCAAACTTAAAAATATTAAATGATCACTGTTGGTAAAGCATTATGTTTCCAAACAGCGTGTTTCTTAGATCGACGTGGTGATAACTAAAAGGTGAATTATCTTAGAAGATACACAAGTATGATGAATTTTAAATATTTCCAATTCTTTGATCTGTTTTCTTCTTGTATATTTTTGTCTTCATTCCGACTTCTTTGAGTTGAATTTTGCCTTATTTGTTGAGCTATTCGTTTTTATTTAGGTTATTCGGTTAAAGTCCTTCTATGAAAACAAATCATTGTGGAAAGATTGAGGTGTTTTCTTTTTTTATTCCACTTTATTGTTATTTAAAGAAAAGCTGTGTTAAAACGAAATTATTATTTATTCTTATTTTAATAGAGGATTTACTCTCAACTTCTAGTCCAGTCCTTATTTAATAATAATTATGATGCAAAGTAATAACAATATTTAATTTGAAATACAATAAACACCTCAGTCAGTCTGCTCGCGTTCCCTACAATCGTATTGGCTCACGTAAAAATTTATGATCAGCAAGAAATCGAGCGGCTGCTACTCGCCGTGGCGGCGGGTCGCGACAAAACTCGGCGTGCAGTAAGTGCACTTGGTATCAACGCCTTTTCTTCTATCATTCGCTCCACCTATAGATATATGATCCAAATCCACAACCAGAGAGATCGTAACCTTATCAATCAACTACGAAATTGTGGTCTAAAAGATGTTATTGTCTATGTAAATTGGTTGGTCCATATTTAAATGTGTAATTTGTGGCGTTAATGTAAAAATCAGCAGCTGTCTTGTGTATAAAATTCATTAATTCGTACATAACTTTACACCGAGTAAACATTTTTTTTCTTCTGTATTATCCACGTCACAAAAAATTATCACGTATGACAAGAGTATTACAAAGAAAGATTGACAAAAATCTTGCATGTTATATCTATACGTGGACACCACTTGACGCCTTGACCTTCTCTAATTTCTTCGTCATGACATCATGTCGCAGGTTCAGTTAGGTTGACGTTTCGTTGTTTATTTTATTTAGATTTTGTTGCCTTGTATATCGGTAGTTGTGGAATTACTTTACTCAAGCTTTCTATAAACTAACACATTATCTTGTAGAATTTTCATGCTGAAGTACATTTCTGATAAGTGATAATATGTAGTAAAAGAGCTAAAGCTTTTTGTTTATAAAAATCGTGGTTTATTTATCGGTCTTAAAATACTACTATTCCCCAAATCTTGAGTACAAACGCACAAAGTAATTCTTAAGCTATCGCTATACACCACAGTTCGTCACATACATAGAAATCAGATCCTTCTAGTTCGATCATTTACAAGCCTTACTTGTGTATCTTTCTATCTGACGGTAGTTTGAAAGTCTCTTACAACTGTTGTAGTAAGTGTTGAGGATTTCCAATTTGTTTTATTAAAAATTTGTTTGGTTGTCAATGTCGGAAAGTGTCTATCAAAGTGTATGAAAATATGCCTGTTTCAAATTGTCAGTTATTTCTTTATCGTTTTTTGCATGATTTAAAACATTGTTGTGTGAGCATCTATCAATGCTTCTTATTATTATTTAGGCTTCGCTACGAGTTATTGTTATTGAATGAAATTGTCTTGATGACCTTTTGTATCATTAATATCATTTGTTGAGTCGGCTGTTATTTGACCTTTGTTTATATTTTGAATATGACCGGAAATTGCAACACAGAATTGTATGCTGTATATGACAGACAAAGATTTAAACTTATTTCTAGCAGTGTTAATGAAGTGTTGGTTTTAAAAAATAGAAAAAAAAACTTTGTTTTTCTGTGTTGCTATTTTCTCCCGAAACATTTATTTTAATTCTTATTGCCATACCTAATATTTCAGCACGAGTATATACAATGATGAGAAGGACGGCTCTGATCATAAACACGATCAAAGCAAGTGAGTAATTTCATTTTATTTTCACACTTTAATATTCACATATAATATGTAGTTTGTAATTCCTGTAGTTTCATAATATGTGATATAAAATATATACCTAAGAGTGTTTAGAAAGCTTCCGCGAATGTCTTACGTCTTAGCTGCTATGCCAATTATTTAGATTTTTATACACATGTCAACTTGAAAATTTGTTGTGTAAATATGTCCTTGGAAACGTATTGATTACTTGAAAAGTTTGACTTATTTATAGTTTAATAAAACACTATTTTGACCGGATTGAAGTTATGTATTATTATAAATTTACAACTATTTAACATAATTTTAAATTTATCCGACGTTTCGCGTGCTTTACAGCGTGCGTGGTCACCGTGACCACTTAAATTTATAATAATACATAACTTCAATCCGGTCAAAATAGTGTTTTATTAAATGAATAAAAGTTATGTTAATCAAAGACAATATTATTTATAGTTTCTAGAGAAAAGCAGGTCGCAACTAAACTCCGTGGATATTAACCATGCTGTTGAAATAACGGCATCAATCGTTTTTCTTTTGATTTTGGGATTTTGCTAATGACACAGGGTAAAAGCTAGTTCGATATAAATATGATGAGCTCATGGAATGGATTCTCTTGTCTGCTGTGTAGAACCGAGTCCTAAATTCGCGTGATTTTGATAAATTTTTGACGTATGTGGAAAGCATTAACAAAATACTAAAGTATTAAATAAACATTTTATTCGATATTTATGTGCCCATACTTCGACATAAACCTTTGATGATTTATACAAATTATGTACAATTTCAGTGCGTCAGATGATGGCGTGACGGAATGGCCTGAAGTATACATAACTTCAGACCAACTTGGTGAAGAGGCGATTGTACTGGGGCTTGGTGCTACGGAGCCCGAGACCTGGGCAGCTGGTGCGCCGAAGGGCCTGGCTAAGTAAGTTTAAGCTTCAGTGCATGACTCCCGTATGTCAAAACGTATTAAATTTTGAAACAGGAGTCATTGAGTCTTGACTTTAATCCATCGTCCCTGGGTGATTTAAAAGTTTCTTAAGCACACTATATTATAAATTATTAATTACGTAACATTTAAACAAATTTATCAAAACGATTACGTAGATTGTATTACTTGTTATTAATTTTATCAACGGGTTTTACAAAATCTATGGTTAGAGAAATATTAATTTTCTTTCGGATGCTGGTACTATTTTATTGATTTAAAGTTATCTCAATGATGTAATAGAAAAAAAAATTTAAACATATTTAACGGTTTTTTATATAGTATATATTTTCAGGAGTATCGGTGAAAGAGAAACTAAACGTCAAGAACACATCTACGAGTTGATTTTGACGGAGAAGCATCACTGTCTCACAATACGACTTATGCAAAAGGTATATCGTTCAAAATATCTACAATATGTATGTAGTAAATAAATTTAAACTAATTTATTTTTAATAGAGAAAAGCGTCAAGTATATTTTATATTTTGTCTTACAGTGGAATGTTTCTAAAACCACTTGCGTATAACGCTAAGTACTCTACAATTTAATATTCTTGTGTAATTTCTATAAAATAAATCTTCAATATTTACTGTATGTTTCAGACAGTATTACATTCCAACTAGTATTAGGAATATCGGTTTTAATTAAAAAAAATATGAAAATTTTTGATCAGCACGCATTGTATCAAAATTATGCAAAAGACTATAGAGCAATTCGTTTTCCGAAACCTTAACAATTTTTTTTAAATGAAATAGTTTCTTGTGATGTCTCCGTCACTAAACATTTCATTCGAGGTCAATTTAAGACAAATGACTAATTTAATTACTAAAATACGTCAACACTTCTTACAGACTATTAAAATGAAGACAAATCGTTCTTGGATTCTATTGGTTTAATGTGAGATTAATTTATTCCAGATGTTCGTAGAAGGAATGACGCGCATCACAGGCATAACGGACGCCCAAGTGAGCCGAATGTTCCCACGCCTTGACGAGCTATGGTACATACATGCAGCGCTCTTGTCCCGTCTTAGAGCAAGACAGCGGACAGCCCCGCGGATCAACACTATAGCGGATATATTGGCCGACGCGTTCGCCTCACCTGATCATCATACATTGAAAGCGGCTTATGGTAAGTTAAATTAATAAATTATCGAATTTTGTTACTCTAAATAGTTTCAAAACTGTATAAATCTAAGACAATTAAAGTTACGAGATAAGAGTAATTTAAAAATGACATTGATGCACATTGATTGATTCTTTGCTTGATTAGACCATTATCTTCCGAAACTACCGAACCAATATCAATCAAATTTGCACACCGTGCGCAGTTTGATTCAACTTAAAAGATAGGATAGTTTACATCTCAATTTATACCCGCAATATTATTTTATTGCAAAATATTTGTTTATTATATTTTGATAGTCACAATTCTAACAGATGGCGCTGTGTTGAAAGTACCAACGTTTCACATAAGCTACAATTTAATGGCACAACCACCAAAGAAGCATGGTGGTCCCCATGACTGGTGTTCTCCTACCGTTTCCCTTGAATAGTTGACTACTATGTAATATAACAAAAACCTTAGCCACTGCAACACTTGGCCGGTCTGCTAGTAAAAATATAATTTTTAAGTATTTTTTTAATGTAGATAAATTCTTATTTATTTACGAACTTGTGAAATAGTTAATAATTCAACAGTATTAAACTTCTTTTTGTTTATTATTTAATAAATTGAGGCTTATAAGTTTATGAATAAAGATAGGATAATGAGTATCGGGCTATTCCTCTATTATAATTTTATGTTTTTAGGCGAATTTTGTTCGCGACATCGTGACGCTGTGGAAGTGTTTAAAGAATGCTGCGCCCGTGAGGCAAAACTCGCAAGGTTCATTAGAAAGTGCCAACAAAACCCTTTACTTCGGAAGAAGGTATTTTTACTAATATTTAATAAAAAAAATTATATCTAAACAAATTTGTTCCATCAAGAATTATACTTATTTTTTTAATTTATTTCCATTAATGCTATGGCTAAAAAATATATATTTAATTACACCGAAATATGCTTTGCGTGTATTTAAAATGAACTCTTACGTTATTAGGGTATTTTTTTTTAATTCAGAAGAACTAAATCCGTAATTGCAATCTTTTAACTTAAATACTTTTATCTCTTTCTGTCAAATTGTATTTACGCCTTGACGACGAGAGACAGATGAGTACTATAAAACGGTGCTATTGAATTTTTTTGTGAATAAGGAGATTAGTCTTTATATCGATTGTTTTAGATACCGTTATCTTGTTGAATAATTTCTTGCTGAAAATAATACTTTTTAAACAATTTCAGGGTGTACCAGAATGTGTGTTGTTCGTAGCTCAAAGATTGACGAAGTACCCTCTGCTGTTAGAGCCCTTATTGAAGACGGCTGGAGATGATCTCACTGAACGAGAGTTATTACAGAAGGCACTATGTGGTGTTAAGGTATATAAACTCAAAGTCAAAATCATTTATCCATATAGGTAACACAATGTACTCATACGAACGTCAAAAAAGAAATACATATTAAATGCTTCTAATTTTACATTTACTGCCAGTTCTCTAATCAAGGGCGTAGAACGGAAGAGAAGAACTGACAATAAACTCTCCGCCAATCTTTTTAATCACCAAGTTTTTTGTTTTACGCAATGTTTTGTAAGGAACTGCAACCATTACATCATGTTCGACATGACTTCATAAGTAATTAATAGTTAATTAATAATAATAAAATTAATTCAAAACAAAATGTCCTCTATCAGCAGGAGGCATGGTGAAATAGGAGCACGCATTTACATTCTCGTAGGAACACAACGCAAATCATAGTCGAAATAACTAACATCACCACAACTAGCACCCGTTCACGAGTATGACGCATGGCCAGCCATTGGCCAAAAGCAAAAGATAAAAGACAATTGTCAATCAAACACGCTGTTATTAAAGTCATCATGATATAGCCAGACTTAAATATTACTTACCTTGGCTTATATAAATTGTGTGTGAGTTTGGAGGCACAAAAAATAAACTTACATACTCTCATTGTAAAATAAGACAAATGAAACAATCTTCAGTCTGTTTTGATACTCTATTATTAAAAAGTGTACATATTATACGAAAGTGGGTTAAATCGTTCAACATTAATATTCAGCTTTCTATGTCTTCTTACTATGAGCATTATGACCATAAAACCGGCTGCAGAAGATTTAAAGATTTTTTTCTTCTTAACAATTCACCTTATATAGATATATTTATTAAATACATTGAAACTATTTCAGGAAATATTAGTCGACGTAGACAATCAAGTGGCTGCCAAAGAACGTGAGGATAGAAAACTCGAGATTTATCATAGGATTGACGCTAAATCTTTTGCGAACTTCCGTGGAAGAAAGTTCAAGAAGAGTGATATTCTACAAGGGAATAGGAGTCTTAAGTGAGTAGAAATAAAGAGCTAAATTCTATTCCTATGACAAACCTATAATGTTTTCATTTCTTAGACACTTGAACTTTTTACAAAAATGACAAGTTGAGTCGTAAACCCTACCAATTTTTAAAGAAGGTTAACATACTCTTTTGGTAATTGAACATTTGATTACTGCAGTAATACTTAAAGTTATCTAGGGGAGCACTAGGATTTGAAAGCTAGGTTGGAAAGCATAAGACAAATTTTCACTCAATAATAAATTAACAAAATAGAGTTTTTGAATCAATATTTAAATAGTATTAATTTATAAAAAAAAAAAAATATGTAGAGGTGACACCACAATAAATAAAAAATAATGATTTATTTTATTTTTAGATTTGAAGGTGTTGCTACATTAATGCAAGGCAGAAGCAAAATGCAGACTTTAATGGTGATTGTTCTGACAGATGTGTTGTTTTTTCTTCAAGACAATAATAATAAATATACGTTCTTTACGCCTGATAATAAAGTGAGTATACAAATTATCCGTTTCACTACTTCGGTTTTTTTTCTAATAATTGTATTTAACTTTACAGAAATTGTACTGAAAAATAACGTAATTAAAAATATAATAAAAAATAAAAATTTTTTATATAAAAAAATAATATTTTTATTAATTTTAGTATATTTGGTCAGCTCTTTTATAAGCAAACTTAAAGTTTTTTTCGTAATGGTGAGTGCATGAGTGAGTGTAATGTGTAACTATTTGTTAGGTCTCCAACTCACTCCAACATGTGTGTTCATAAGCCAGTCCTTTAATAGTTTTTTTTAGATTGTTATTATATATATACTACTTAGCTTGTGTTTAATATAATATATGAAAAGTTCATATACGAACCATTTCAACAAAAAAATATAAAACGGCAAACATACACAATTGCTTCAAATTCGCACGTACCTTCATCAAACAGACCTTATATATAAAGTGTTTTTGTTTTTACAGTGTATTTTAAATCATGTTGCCTATCCTTAATACTTCAAAATCGACTCATTGGTATGTGGTCAGACATAATCGACTACATAGCCATGAGGTTATTGCCCTTTTCTCTTTACATAATTGTGTATTAATACCTTCCGTACATGGTCAGGCATTTTGGTAACATTACTTTTCTACACAAAATGTAAGAAAAGAAGTTATCAGCCGTGTATGGCTAGTCGTGTGATATGTCAATAAAACATATGCTGGAATGAAGTGTAAGAGTGTCGAATATAATAAAATAGTGTATATTATATGTATTTCTAGACGGGCGTAGTATCTCTATGCAAAGTATTAGTACGGGAAAAGGCGGGTGCAGATGGGCGTGGCCTTTACATAATTTGCAGTGGGCCATCCGACCCTGAAATGTTCGAGTTGAGAGTCCACAGGCCGAAGGATATCGCTAACTGGATACATGCTATTAGGTAAGGTTTCACTTATAAAGCCTTTTTTATAAAACGTGGATCAATAATAAACCGTAGGTACTAACTCTGCCGATACTCTTCGATATATTTTCATACTATTAATGAACATGAATATGAGGATAAATTAAAAACATTGATTAAAATCCTTTAATGTGTTATCATTTTAATAAAATAATACAAAATACTGTCAATCAAGCTATATAATTACATTTGAAGAAATCCTAAACTTGGTTTAACCAATACAAAATATCTGTTTATTTTTTTATCATACTCAAGAAATAGCATAGTTTAATAAAATACCTGAACGTAATGAAAGTACCTGTACCAAAGTTTCTACTACAACTGTACCACTTTGAAATTTATTTATTAATGTAACTTTTTTAAATATAGATATATACGAAATAGGTCCAGAGGCTATTCTGTATTAACATTTGTACCATTTTAGGGCGGCTGTGCAAAGCTGCCCTGAAGAAGTAGAAGAGAGTGAGACAGGCCCTCATGTGCCCTCTGCAGAGGAGAAGCAACGCCTGCTAGAAGCTAGACACGAGAATATAAGACTGATTACTGGTGAGTCATGTTAAGATTTAACTTTTTAGGTCTTGTTAATGGCTATGCAGTACTAAATATTTGAATAAAACTTCTTTATACGAAGACCACATAAAGTTTTAATTATATATTTATTGTATAACATTTAAATTTCCCTGCAACTTTATACTTTATTTTTTTTAATAAATATAACAACATAAACAGTATCCTGTTTCATAATAGTTTTAACTTTTTTTACTCTCTTTTAAATGTTGGCGATTAATAACATGCTTTATTTACTAAAGCACAAATATAAAGTATTTAGAATTTTCTTAACCTACATAGTAATAGTAATTATTAAAAATTGATAAATAGAAAACTAAAACAAATTTACAAAATTTGTTTCCTGCGGCAATGTATAACTTCTTTATACTATATCTGTTTGGAAAACATATTTCTTTTTAAATAATGAAGTACAAATACTTCTTGTATGACGTCAGTCAGTGTCAGTCTTTGACGCTGAGAGCGGGTTAGAAAATATTTGGAAATTCATTTGTTTTTTTTTTACTTCATGATATTTCGTTTTTATTTTCCTCCTATGCAGAAAGTGAGTTTACACAAATCGCAAATTAGTCACTTTACCCATGTTGTATATTACAATGTACTACTAACAGATATACATTTATCTGGCCACAAATTTCAAACGTTGATTTAAGTAAATCTAATCTATTATATAAAATTCTCGTGTCACAATGTTCGTTCCCATACTCCTCCGAAACGGCTCGACCGATCCTTATGATTTTTTATGCATATTCAGTAGGTCTGAGAATCGGCTACTATATATTTTTCTAACCCTAAGTGATGAGGGGTGTCCACCCCAAAACAATTATTTTTATTTTTTATGATACAGCATACAAAAATACATACCACCCTTAATTTTCATCTACCCTCTACGATTAACCCCTACGTTTTATTTGTTAGTTAAGAATATAACTTGAACCCTGAGGTTTATTTAGAGAAAAATCTTAAAAGTTTTCGTTCTGGAAAACCGAACATTCTCTGGGGTAGCATAGCAAAATGTTTCATGTTGGTATGTACTAAAAAGTAAAATCACATTAAGGAGAAACGAAGTTCGCGGGGGCAGCTAGTAGTATAGTAAATTTTCGTTACGTTAAAGAAGTTTTATTTAAACGTGTTTAGCTTTTATGTGACGTGACGTTAATGTTAGTATGAAAAGATTATTAATTAAAAACTTAATAATTATACGTATGCACTACAATTTACGAAATTTTATGATTCAGACGAAACGCCTCAACGGCACATTAAAGGTGAATATTATTCGCATGAAAGCATGAAAGTCTTTTTGTTTTTTTTTTCTATTTAGACCATCATTAAAACGCTTTAATTGTTGAATAATACACTCCAATATTATTACCTTTACATTAAACTGACGCGAAATATGTAAATGATTTTTCGTGTTATCCAACAAATATTTAAGAACATAAAAACATTTTTCAAAATTTATTGTTGTTCACGCAAATTAACATATTAATTACTTAAGATGATGTAATTTCAGAGGCACTTCGAACGAAGGATAAAGAACACGCGGTACTTTTGGAAGAAAAAATGGCTTTACATATGAAAATGTTTGGGCATACAGGTGCCTCGACATTGGAATTACCAAATACTGGTAAGATACAATAATGACGTATATCTTTTATGAGGCATGCGCCAAACGGAGTCCAACATACATTTTAATTTTTTTAAATCCATAATTGCAAAAATTAGAACGGCTGTCTGATGGCGACGTGCATCTCGTTCGTATTATAATATTAAGTTTCTCAAGTAAAAAAAAATATCATTTTGCTATGAGAAATAAAGTTCTGTAACCGAAAAAGAAGTTTATATGATGTATCGCCCATTATTCATACTTTTAAGCAACTTTAATAGCCTGAAGGAGATGTTGTTTTTTTTTTCGTAAATTGCCAGACTGATATTTGATATATACAAATAAAAGACAATAGTTAAAGTGGTATTTTTTATGGTGCATTTCGAAGTTATTTAAATTCTAGAATACATTCGACGGTCTACGGCAATATTATAAAACCAGGATTGAAGTTGTACCGTCCCGGTTACGATATCATTTCCCTATAAAAGGTGACTGAATTCACAAACACTTTCTTAATCTTACCACAGGTGTAACTACAGTATTTCCGGGTGGGTTGGTCTTTCCCGACTACGTAAGAGTGGCCGCACCCACGCCTGATACTCATGCGCTGTGGCAAGAAGTCTGCAAAGTTGTTAAGGTGATTAAAAATAAGATTCCTTATAAGCATTGCAGGTCTTGTGGGATTTTCAATTAACGGAAAAGATTATTATTATTACAAGAAATTTAGAAAAATAAAACCGACTTCAAATATTATTGCTTTCTCTAGATATGCAAATTTTTTTAAGGATATATACACAAATTAATGAATATTGGAATTGTACCCAAAAAGCTGTAATATAACCTGATTCAATTTAAAAATAAACGACATGAGTTTCCGAGATTTTCTGGACAAACATACACATATTTACGGACTTTAACTTAAGCTCTATATCACATACATATAAAAGTAGTCAATGTGTGGATTTGATTAAAAACAATTCATAATAAAAGTTATTTTCTTTAGGATGCACTCGAAGTATGCAACGCGTACAGTACTAGTCACAATACAGGGGGAGTTGCGGTGGGCCGGAGCACGAGTTCCGCGGGAGAAAAGCACTCACTGGCTTACGAGAGCCCTGCGTTACCTCGACGAGCTGATACTTTCGCTGGTTTCGATGCTAATAAACATCGAACTCAAGGTATTTTTATTTCAGGCACACTAACATTACAATCACAAAAACAGTAAAATTTGATGAAGTATTAAAGACAAATTTCCATCGAGAATGACTTCTAAAAATTCTGACTTGAGTATAACAAATGTTATTAAAAGTGCACTTAGCGTTTCGTTATTATAGCTATGTGTTCGGCGCCTGTTAGTACCAAACTACTTTTTATATTAAACATTTAATAGTAGTTTATGCAACTGTCATATAATAGAGGGTATTAAAACATGAGTGTAGTTTTTTTCAAAATAAGATTACACAAGTGTTTTACGCCTTTATACACCTACGCAATCGCATGCGGCAGCGAAACGACGAAAAAACTGTAAGTTGTACGGCAACGTTTCGCATGTGTTTTGTCTCGCTCTATTATAAAGCTAGAGAAAATTGGTCCTTGTGGTATTGTTTTGCAAGTAACTGCGAAATGGCTGTTACACAGACGCAGCCGTTTCGCTAGCGGAGTTTCGCATCGCAATGCGTCACCACGCGTTCTGTCAGTGAGGACAGAATTTCGCACAATGGAAGCCGAAAATATTGAATTATTATTAAATTTGATTCGAAATTATCCCGAATTATATTTAGTTGGGCATGTTAATTACAAAAATGCATACAAAAAGAGGTGGATGGAGGAAAATTCAAGAAAAGAGGGGATAGATGGTAAGAAATAAAGCTACAATGACATTTCCTTGCAAAAACTGAGTGTACTAAGTTCGCAGATATTTCGCTACCGCAATTATTTCGCAAAGACTCGCAGCCGCATGCGAACGGTAGGTGTATAAAGGGTGAGTTGCATACACTACTTTATTTAATCTCCTGGCTATAGGACTTAAATAAATGTAATATGAAAGAAACAAAAGTCTGTTATTGGTCTACTGGCTCGGAACCAGCGCGCAGCGTGCTCACCACAGATAATGTGTACTTAAATTGAATTGAAACCTCCTTGGTCGGGACACATTGTACTTTAATAATTAAAAAATTGTTTTAAAGCAATGTTTTGTTAGGAGAACAATGCTTTAATTTAATTTTTTAATTTTCTTAAAAAAGTATGTAAATAAAATATGCCAATAAAAGTCTGTATTTCAGTTCATAAATATTTTTATGAACTTCCTCGACTCCTGCTCCTTCACATCAACAATCACAAAGACTCGTATCATTTATTTAAAAATATAAATAGATGAAAAGCGATTTTTTTAAATTGTAGGCGTAACTCCCCGCATGTCAACAGACACGCCGACGGAGACGGAGAACGCGGAAAGTCGGGAAGCGGAGGTTAGCGGACGGGAGGCGGCTCTGAAGCTCCAACACGCGATATACACGCTCACTTGTATCGTGTGGCAGCAACTCACCACTATACATAGGTCAGTTGGAAAATATTTTTCTTAGAAAGTATAGACAATTGAATAGGATTTTAAAACACTTTAAAATTTCTTTGTAATAAATACTTATGTAAACGCATTAGAATTAAAAGGTAATTTACTCAGCAAGTAAGACTATTTGCTTATAATGAACGTACCATAATTTATCGGCTGAAATTATTAGCTGTAAATGAAAATCTTCGGACGATAACATTATACTTATGACAGTTTGGAGGCTCAAGTGTGCGCGTGGCGTTCTTCCGGCGGCAATGCGGCCCGAACGCACGATGCGCAATTAGAGGAGCTACGACACGCGCAGTCGCGATTGACGGCCGATAGAGCCGCTTGGGAAGCGCAACGTACTGCCGATAGGGATGCGCTTGCGACTGGTATGTAACTGTACCTACTCTGATATAGCTTGTGTAGTTCTGTTTATATTTTAAAGATGGCTGATGTATTTTTTATTTCATATATATATATATATATATGCAAAAGTAAACGGCGAGTCGATGAGCCGCTCGCATTATGTTACATTATTAAATAAATGTATATACCGAATTACATTAGTCTTTTTTTTATAGAACAGGGGCAGCAGGCGGCTCACCTGATGTTAAGTAATACCGCCGCCCATGGACACTCTCAATGCCAGAGGGCTCGCGAGTGCGTTGCCGGCCTTTATCATAATCTTACATAATTGTAAAGATTTTTAAGAGAATAATTTTTGTGTACGTAGAATATATGAAACAAGTTCGCATATCATTGATCCAATTAACAGGATTTAAAATATATTTTTTTTGAATAGAAAAACGGCAGCTGCAAGCGATGCGAGAGCAGCTAGAGGAGCAACAAAAGGACGTGGAGCAACAACGGGAGAGGCTTTATAGGAGGCTCGAGAGGCTGCAACAACATGGTATGTTTCATAATAACGTAGATTATCGACAATATAAAAATTAATCGCTGAATGTGTTGCTAAGCGCGAATCTCGAGAGCAACTGAACCGAGTTCGCTAATTCTTTTTTTATAATATTCCTTGAAGTAAAGGATGGATCTTACGGTGGTAAAAAAAAACTGCCTGGAAATGTCTAAAAACAACAGATTTCTATATTCTCATACAAATGATTCGTAATAACACTTAAAAGTTAATTTGAACTTTAATACCTAACCATAAAGTTTAAGTGTTAGTTAGGGGTTCCGAAAAGGCAAAACAATTGAGTGTTAATTAATAAACAATGTGTGGATTTTTATAATTGATCGATATAAATGTACCACTTTCTTGCAAATAAATGATATTATTATTATTAACGACTGTACATTAAAGAACATAGATAAGAGAATCTGATGATTTAAAAAACTGCAATCATGTAATTTATCAACAGAAGTAAAATACATTAAATTTACTGTTTAAGGTGGATCGCAAGAAGAAATAGCAAGTGTGGGTACCCTTTCGCCCGACTCGAGCGTCAGTGATACTCACCGACGGAAGGAACCAAAGTGGCGTAGTAAGTATTTAGTATTGAAATATTAAGACATAGACATAACATTGATTACTAACAAAAACACACAAATAACAATAATCAAAGAAAAAAAATTATATAAAAAATATAATGAGAGATATCAAAAAAATTTTTTTTCCTTTTCCCATTCGGTTCGTTTCAAGTGTAATGCGTGTGTGCTGTGGTTGTAATTAGCCCTGGCTCAGAATTATGCTGAGGAGCAGAATGTTTCTGCACTGGTTATTCTGCCAGAGACCACAGCAGCTAGTTTGCGCCTCAGTTGCAAAAAATCATTTGATTGTTTCACTTTTAAATACGAACAGCATAAGCATGATAACATTCCGGTCGTGCCTTCAAATCTTTGCAGGTTTTTTCTGAGAGCAATTAACACTTACTACTACTACTAGAATAGGAAATATCGAGGGAAAACTAGAATGCTTTGGCCCCAAAATTGACGAAGTATGTCAGACAAAAGGCTCACGACCATTGTCTATAAATAAAAAAAGGGTGCGTGTACTTATGTACGCGCGTAAGAAGTTATACTTCTTTGGCATTATTAAAAATAGTTTGGCTTTGTTCCACCTCCAGTTTTTGATGTTTCACAGCGATAAGATGACAACTCTTTTTTTGTATTCAATTTAGTGCACTTACACTGATTCATCAATTGTTTTTTGTCTCTTGTCCTTATATTTGCTAGATAAAATCAGAAAATTTACATGTTTTGATTAAACAATGTGGTAACAATAATACAAACTGATAATTAACCTCAATTGTAATGAAGCACTTAGGAAGGTTGATGAGCACAGTTTTTTCACAAATATTAATTAGTATTGGTTTAAATATTCAATTTAAATCACTTCTGATTATATATAATTCAAAAAGCATTGCTAAATTTCTTTGAAAAAATAATTAAAACTCCTTTATTTGTTTAAAAGGTAAATGACAAATGTCATTATGGTCATTCAAAATTCTTGGCATACGAACTTCACGCATATTCTATTTCTTTTTACTTGTAGATTGTCTTATTCCTATCTCGCTCGCGCACGCTATAATCACACTCCTAATTTTGTGTCACAGGTGCGCGCGCATCGTAAAATTTCACTCTCATAAATTTTTCATAACGCGCCTAAAGAAGTATAACTTCAAAAATATGAAATAAATTAAATTCGAGTCTCAAAGCCGCCACGGCATTATTATTATTATTACTAAACCAATATATAATTGTACAGTCAAATCAGCTTAGAGACGTTTCTGCGTTTGTGGTAGTGCACAATTCTAACGAAATTAAAAAAGATATTTGATAATAGCACTTAAAAATAATATTTTGATTGAATCTTCCAATATGTATATGTGTATAACCTGGTTTCGCAGACAACCGCGGTTCGACGGGTTCCGAATCTGGTGCCAGTGTTTGCAGCAATCGGGGACCACCACTGCCGCCGCCGCAACTACTGTCCGCTCAGAATGAGACCAGAGCTATCGTCAGGGCACCCGTGCAGGTATACACAGAGATAGTAGAATACCATGTATGTATCGCGAAATGCCGTTTTGGCCTAGCGGTTTCAGCGTGCGACTCTTATATTGTAGGTTTGAACCCCGGCTGCACCAATGGACTTTCTGTCTGTATGCGCATTTTACACTCGCCGATACCATGAAGTCAAAAATCGTCAGGAAACAGACCCAAAAAGTTGACGGCGTGTGTCAGACACAAAAACCTGATCACCATACTTGGTTATTGAAACAAATGATCATAGAATAGATAAATAAATCTGAGGCTTTTAAAAGGTAGCGCCACTGGTTTTTTTTATGTATGTACGCGAAGTCGCTAGCTGAGCTGAATATTAAAGCATAAAGCGTTGGTCAGAAATGATAGAAATTATTGGATATTTAATTATAAACTTGATAGTAAAAAAACAAATTAAGAATGTTTAGAACGAAGAGAAAGTCTGAATAATAAACATGAAAGTTGCCGCTTTGCTTAGTTGAGTATTCTTGGCGAAACGGTTGTAAAAGTTTAGAAGGTATTTCGTGGCTATGGTTAGCCAAAAATTAATATTATTATACAAATAAAATTAAAAATTATTAAAAGAAGCAGTTCACGTCATCCGCCTTTACGATACTTTAGTTAATATCGCTAATATTGAAAGCTATAATCTCCACAGCAAATGGTGAAGCAGCAGTTACCGCTGAAGTTAGCGAGTGGCAAATCTCAACAGCCACCGCCGGGTTACCACAGACTGCATGAATCGCCCAGCGATGTGAGTATACATTTAATGTTGATACTATCTAACTTTAGATCAATCATAGTCAGACCCATTCATTGTGACAATTACCTTAAAATTTCATAAATAACTTTCTTATTTTATTATGACAATTTACATAAATACCCGATCCTATATGGCCAACATTTATTTAAATCAATTTAGCTGTTTATATTATATGAACAATTATACGATTCAGCCGTGGCATATATACTCTACGATAAGCTCAAGCGTGCGACCCTCATCCCTGAGGCCGTGCATTCTTTCCTATGTGTAAAATTATCACTTGCTCTACGGCGAAGGAAAACATCGTGAGAAAATAAAGGGTTGTAGCGTCACTGGATTTATTATATACTCGTAGAAGTAATCCCAAGTAATGAACACATAAGCTTATGTCTTTTTATATTGAACTATTTAATACATGAATGCAATATGTATATGTATAATTTATACTAACGGTGAGTAACTTAGTCCGATTTGAGTCGTTGTTTAACATTTTGCTTTCAGTTTTTAACTCATTAATCTATATTTAATAGTATGTTTATAATATTTTCTTACCGTCTATACGAATACCATTTTAATTTAGATGCATATGCGATATTATTGTTTATGTAACGACTCCCGTAGCTTATATATTTCCCTTTGACAGATTAAATGGTTGGTTTTCAGGAGGCTGAGTATCCAAACGTTTTTTAGGAATCGTTTTTTGTTTGTAAGTAATCAGTATGTATTCGGTGTATTTATTTACGAAATTATTCACATAGTTGTGGTAGATGATGTAAATTGGCTTTTTATTTTTATTTGGAACTTACAACCATTTTATCTGTTAAGCTTTAAGTGTTGCACGCTTTTATTCTAAAGAAGCAAAACTAGATTTAGACTAAGTGTAAAAATAATTATCTTCAAATTAAAAAATTATAGGAAGATCAGCTTTTTTAAAGTTTAAATTACATCGCTTTAGCTTTTCTATTATTTTATGTAGCTATGTTTGAGTTTAGCATTGTCTTAATGTTAAGGTTTGAAAAATAATGTCAGGAAATTTAAAACTACCACCAAAACATTTCAGCACCACCAAGGCGTAGTTATTCATCACACGCGCACTGGCAGCTCTCCTGCGCAGATGCCATCGCAGCAGCCAGTTACTAATAAAGCCACCAGGTAATAAATTTAACCGATTTCTTGGAGTTTTCTTTACAGTTTGTTTTCTATAAATCTGAATTTTGTTTCATTCCTCGAATTCTGTGACAGACTAAACAAAATTTTATACTTAAATTAATTAGACTTAAGAGAGACAAAATTTAATCCGTATTAAGGTATATTAAACTCTTCTGCAGAACAAACACATACCCGAAATTACCAGACAAATTTCGCGTACGATCTCCCGAATCAAACCCGCTACCACCTCCACCAGCGCCTAACCCACCCGAAGAAGAAGTGATATATTTCTGACAGTCAGGACTTTCGAAAGCTCCTCCGGATTCCTGAGGCTGTCGATTGTCCTAAACCCGATTCGAAGGACCAAAATGGTAATGTGTCATATTTCCTAGAAATATTTTCTTGTTTTTTTTGGTTATAAAGGTTCGATTACAAGATACCTAAGCCGCTTACTCTCAAATTCGGATTCGAACCTAAACATGGCTCCAGTATGTCAAATCGTGACTGAATCTTACCCTAGTATTTTGGCAAAGCTAATCTTTTAAGTGTTAATATTTAAATAAAAAAATAAAAAATATGTATAACTAACTTTTTGGCAACGCACTCGCAAGCCCTCTGGCATTGAGAGTGTCTATGGGCATTAACATCAGCTGAGCCCGTTTGCCCTCTGTTCTATAAAAAAAAGTATGTCCGAATAATCGAATCTTTATCCACTATTGTCAAGTGCAGCTTTGTAACTTTATTATGACTAATTTTAATATAATTTAGTCTTCAACAATTTGTGTATTTCTTCGGCAACCAAATTATTTCTGTAGCTTAACTCTATGTTAAGCCTTGCACCTTCAGATTGATGTGTTAAGAAGGGTTTAGGATAACTCTAGGCTTAGAATATTGTGTAAAATTATTGTTATAAGGATTCTAGTGACAATCATTGGATATGTTGCATGACACAAATGTTTGTTGCTCTATTAATAAATGATGTTTTCCATTTATAAATCCGGTAAGCCTTTTAGAATCAGTTATAATTTACATACTTGGTTATTATATGAGGCAACAAATAATCTATTACATTCCGTTTCTTTGATCTCTATTAGTATTATATTTATTTTGTGATGCGATGGCAACTTTTCTGTAGTTTTTCATTATCCTTTTAAAGTTACGAACTTCAGACAGGTCAGCTTTTGGGTTGCCAGTTTATATATAAAGTTACATGTTTATTATTGCTTTTCAAGATTAGCAAAATCGTAGTTAATATAGGATAAATACATTTAAGTCTGTAGGATGTGTTTTTGAATGATGTTTCGATTCAGGACCTGAATATTATAAAAACGCCACTTTCTTAAAACTACTTTTTTCGTGTGGGTACGATACAAATGTTTTAACCATTTTTCACCACAGTGGACATTATTTGCCTTGATAAATCGTACTAAATTATAAAAGTAAATATTTTAAGTCCGTTTCTAAGTTCGTGGATCCCACGATTCATATGAGATATGTTTTTTAATACAAATTTATTCTCCAATATGCCAATTAAGTAATTCAAGGTTTATGAATGCTTTAATACAATTTTTTTAAATTTAGTTGGAGTAATTAAAATGGCGTTCTGCTAAAATCTAAAATATACATGTCATTTGTCTTGACACAGTAAATACGATGATTGTGCGAGGCGTATATATAAATACGTTAATATTATCCGCTATGAGGCTGATAAGGTCCGGTGTGAAAAAGTATTGATTGACTTAGGTAGCTATTAGAATTGTTACAGTGCGTTTTATAAATACATAGTTGTTGACTACGGTTTTGATGTAGGCTAGAAGTTACGCCCCATTACTTTAGATATGAATTTAAAAGTTTTATTAATCGTCGTTCGTTAAATATTAATGGGGCAAATCCGAATTACTTATTCCTGACGTACAAATCAACCTGTTGTTTCAGATATCATGTAAAATTTTACAAATAGAAGTTGCTATCTCTTACGTTAACCACAATTATACGATATTTTAGCTATTCAAAACGTTTCAAAGTAATGAAATCTGTAGCACGTGTGGTGATTATATCCGGCATTCATGATTGTTGTAGTATATGGAACTAGTATCGCGATATATATTATACTAATAGATACATTATTTACATATATTAGAGAAATTTTAAACAGTCTATATTTACTATTGCAATATGATTACAGTATGACACGCAATTGTATTTTTGTTTTTGTTGACAAGTTCTGAATGCAATTTACCTAATGTGTAAACTACTATAATTAACCCACAAACGTTAATACGCAAAAATATTAAACATTCAACCCTCTTAACATTGTTTTTGGATTAACTGTAGACGAGTCTTATTTTTCTGTTTCAAATTATTTTAATGGTATTAGTACTATATTCATAATACATTAAATTCGTGTTAAATTGTAAATAACGTTAAATTATAAAATAAAATGTTATTGACGTTTATAATCCTTATTGAGATTGGCAATTGCATGTTGTGATTGCCGAAGTGACCGGGCTAAAGAAGGACCAGAAAAGTGTGCCCTTGACGTGAAATTGTATAGGGGACATACAATTGCTAGTCTTACGCATTTATTATATCTTGTGTGCATATAATTGACATCACAATGCATTGTTCTCTGGTTTGTTTCCATACCTTCATACCAATTCTACAATCAAAATATTTTTAAATATCTTTATTTGACAAAAAAAAATTGGTTTTATGCACACAAAATAAGCTCACTTAGTATATGATTGTTACTTACATGACTATGTAACTATTTTTCGTGCATTTACTGTAATCCTTACTATTTAGTCTTTTGATGAGGTGATATTTTAAACTATTGACTCACTTTGTATATATGAATGTTGAAGTTTGAATATTAGATATATTTTAAATAATATTCACATATTTTAAAGCAATTACGAGGTTTATATATCTTGTCTTTTCCTAAAATGATCCTAATAAAGACTTCTAAACTCTTGGTTATTAAGTGATTAGCTATAATCACCATCTTTCCACCTAGGATCATTAACCTGTTAGTAGAAGTGTTTATATTTTCATACGTTATAATCTATGAATTATCCGCGAATAACGCATATGACAATGATATTGTAGCTGTTGGTGAATCATTATTGTTCAAATGCAGCTCTTGAGATATTGATCAATTAATTTGTTGGTAGTACGAAAAATGTTTAAATCTCTTTTTTGTGGTCGATAATGTTAAAAAGATTACATGACAATAAATAAAATATAAATTTACCGATTTAATATCGAAATCTATTAAATAAATATTTTGGCGATATAATTATATTAAAAGCAATCTATTCTATATGGCAATACAATTTAGTATATCATGCATTTATTGTTTTAAACTTTAGGCATAATATTGAATTTAAATGTAAGAAAATAAAAATATTCTACTTTGTAATTTATGAAACACTTTAGTTTAGTAGTACTTTTTCAAGTTTTTTCTTAAAAGTATAATACATCAATTGCATTCCTTAAAGGTTTCATCACTGTCTTTTATATCTGTTATATGGAATGGAAGGGACAGCAATATAATAAAACAAATTTTACTTTCCCCTTAAAATGTAAGCTTCGTGTTTGTGACATTTGCATACATTTTCCTTTTGAGACTTGTAACACAGTACAAAATTGCGTTTTCAATGAGCATTATATAATTTCATTTATCGTGTTAAGTATTTAGTTTTAAATTTATCAATTAAGATAATAGTCAAATAACTTTCTTCACGAATATCACAGTATTTTTTGTCACTGAGTTAATTTTTTAGGATAATTTTAACAACTGCTATATTGCGTAACAAGAACGCTTATAGTGGACTTAAGTGAGACATTACTTAGTATAAGTTTTGTGGCAATATATAGTGGATATGTTAGCTTTAATGAATTGTTTCGATTCTGTCTATTCCCTCCAAAATTTATTTTTATCTGTGGCAACGACAATACTGTTATGTATTGCTCAAAATTGCTCACACTGTTCTTTAGCAATTGATATTACTTACAATTTGTATAACTATCGTGTATCGTTACTAATTTGTTGATCTGTCTGGGCGTCGCCCACATTTAATTAGAATAGATGAATGAAATAAACATACTTAGAATTAGTGATTGGTTTCATTTCTATCCAAATCTTTAACAACCCATGAAATAATAAGAAATAGGTAACGAGGTTAAAAAGGAATCGAAAAAAAAAACCATATTTAATTACAAAACAGTTTATTGTAATAGCTTATATAGAGCAACAACTTATTAGGGCTAGATGGCTATATAACTATAATGTTGTTCAAAAATTAAGCAACAGCATGTGATAAAGGGTTGGACAACACTTTCCGATGTATGGCTACTATTGTTTTTGGTATGATTACAGGGGAAGCTTATACTAATGTAACATATTAATTTTACACATTGAAACATCAATTTGTGAGTTAAGAACTGTAAGAAAATAGTTTGAAGTTAAAGTGAAGTATGGTGCATGTTAATGATGCTTACAATTTCCTTGAAACTTTCTTCCCAGTTCTACGGTCTTGATTTGGAAACCGTAGGAAAAAGTAAATTTAGATCTTCAATTGTTTTTAATATTGACATTCATAAATATTTATAGTTAACAATAGACAAATAAATTTTGATATTATTTGTTGTAATGTGTTTAATTATTTCATAATTCACACTTGTCTGTATTATTAAATACACAATTTTGGAAAAGATTGGTCAGATTCGACTTCAAGCGTCTCTGAAAGCAAATATGAACTTAAGTAATAGATTTTGCATACGGGAGTCAAAGTCCCGCTAAGTCTCGTTTCTAAATCTCACCCTAGGACAGAGAATTGTCTTGTTAATTGAAGTAATATCCACAAATTGCAGCCAAATACTTTTTATAGCAGCTTTAGGGTAAGGTTCTGAAACAAGGTTTAGCACTAAGTATGACTCATACTCTCTGGATACGTTTTTGACCTGATAATATTATAAAGAAAGAGTTGAAAGTATTTAAATACATAAACTCTCCAAAGAAAGGCAAACTTTGAATCACTAACACGTAATTCAAATTAGATTACAGCAATTTAAATTGAAGCAGTATCTGCAGTATAAGCAGCTCATTGATACGTAATCAAGCTATATTAATTTTAGAATACCTATTTTGTTTATAACTAATACCCATTTTTAAAGGCACATTCTAATTATGGGTTAAGTGAAAAATTAAATGAAAAAACATATCTCATTTTCATAGTCATAGATAAATTACAGAGCAGTGTTGGCTTAGTGGCTTCAGAGTGCGACTCTCATACCAGATTCAGAAATCTGAGGCCTAGACCTAAAGAGGTTGTAGCGCCACTGATTTATTTTTTTATAGATAAATTACATTTATTTTTCCAAATTAAAATAAATGTTCATTTAAATACAATAAATCTACCTTTACAGGTAGTGATGGATGTTTAAAATATAGTGCTCAGCACTCACAGGCACAATACTTCTATTTTAGAGGAGTTTAAAATGTAGCTATAAATTGGTCTTTAATAATGGAATAACTAGATCAATAAGGTAAAAGGCAACAAGTTAATGCTATCTATGTGCTACACTTATGTATAAAGCTAATATAGTGATTGTATATTTTAAGCATAATAATTAATAGTCAATAGTGGACATCTGAAGTACTTGTCCAATCAGAAAGAATGTATTTCTTTATATTTGTAGAACTTGTTCAACCTTGACCATGCTATATATGTTTTCTAAAGAAAACTTGCCCTTACTAAATTAATTTAATATTGGACAATGTGCTTAATAATTTTCCCTTTGCACTGGTCTTTTAGCACATCTCTGTTCAAAGCATATCTCTAACATTTCCATGGTTATTTTTCTCCCAAATCTGTCCTGATCTGTACAACCTGTATATCTTATCACTGACAATTCTGTCACCAAACTTTAACATGGCACCTTCAAATTTGTGTTGAAAGACCTGCATTTCTGTTTCATTATATCCATCTATGTCAAACTTTTTTGGATTGCCACATATAGTGTATTTATGTACACCCAACATATCTATAGAAATTGATTTGATATTGGATGTTAAATTGAATATATCATCAAAAGATATCATTGTATCTAAATTGCGAATTTCTATTTGTTGTTTCTCTTGTGGCACAGAATAATAATGTGTTTTTTTCATGATGTCAGGATACCCAATATCTGCATTATCATCATCATTTTGGTTCAAACAAAATATTAAAGTATTCACGATAGACGTTCGAAATGTTAACATAGGGTCATAATCTCTTAATAATGCTTGTATAGAGTTATGAACTCTAGGTACAAGGAATTCATCCCAAGCTAACACAGTTACATGACTAACTTTATTTGCTTCTTCTTTGTCAAATTGAAAATGGCGGAATATACAATCTAACTCTATAGCATTTCTTACAATTTGGTATGATTTAGAAAAAATAAAGGGATAGTTTAAGGGATAAAATTGGATATTCCACTGTGCTATGTCAGGGGGAAATAAATTAAGTCTTCTTATAACATCTTCAGAAACCATACTATCATAAATTGTGAAGTAGTCTACACCAACCAAGTGGTGTAAAACTAAAAACTCAATAAAGGCATCTCGTGATACCATAGGAATTTGATTAGGAATAACACATACTGCTGGTATAACTGTATTGACAAATCTAATATTACTTCTCTGTTGCAATTTTCTCTTAGTATTTACTTGAATTAATCTATTAATCGGAGCATGCAAGGGATTGATATTATAATCATTTATGAAAAAACTAACTCCATTTGGTCTGCCAAAGTCTTTGTTCATAGAGCATTCAAAGACATAGAGTCTGAAATTATTTATAGGCTCAGATGAAATTTTGTAGTTAAACCTACCAGATTTTGGTTTTGGAACATTTTCATGCCAAATATAGCATCGAAAATTGGGTATAACATGCGCTTTACCAATGACGATAGTGTTAATAACGTGCGCATATTTTGGCGATAGGTCTTCGTATTTTTGATATGAACGAAGAAACGATGAATAGGAATAAAAATCTTCATTAATTTCTTGAAATAACGGCGGTGTTTCTTTTACTTCCAGAGAAGAATTCCTTAATATCTCGGATAACAAAGTCGCATTGAAGCCGGGCCCGCAGAATTCGATCTCCGAAAGACCTGGTTTTCCAAAAATATTAAGTACTTCGAGGACATAGCGTAATTTGTAGTATTCATGTCGGTACATTAAAAGCGTCACAATACTTAGAAAACAGACGACGATGAGTATTAATTGATAATATTTCCTCATGGTGCCTACTGAAGATTTGCGGTGGGTCTTCATTTAAGAACGTTCATTAAACTATCTCAACTGTCTGTCTGTGTATATAATAGTGCACCATGCCTTGATTTGTAGTTTGATTGCCTTGAATATTTAAAAACACCATTTAAAGAGTCATCACTATATAATCACATTGTTTAACACTAAGTTTTCCTTTAAAAACATTCTTTTATGTTGAATAATGGATCAATTTATTAGGGATTGGACTTAAAAGTATTCAGTATTGACAGCGTCAGCTTTCAATTGGCAACTGCTGCACTAGCTTACCGAGTTCTATAAAATGTCGTTTCTGTGGTATTGGTAATGTCATAAAGTTTTTGTATTTGTTATTTGTCAAGTATTAACCAAAATAAAGTAAAAAATAAAAATGGCAATGACACACGATGGATGATGACTTGCGTTGATTCGATTTCCATTCGATAGTAATTTTTTTAATTATCGCGGTACTCTGATTTGTAAAAATATTATTATTTATTAATTTCAATAATTAGATACCTATTTCATTAGAGAAGGTTTGCTGTCATTTTTAAATAAGACTGGTACTGGATATGGCTAATCGAGAAGAAACTTTGCGTCAATTCTGCGATGTTACGGGAGCCGACGAAAACCGTAGTAAATTTTTCTTGGAATCGTCTAATTGGCAACTAGAGGTAAAGGAATCTTCATTTATAGTTTAATATTACCGAGTACTTAAAGCGCTAAATATTTTTTTTATACTTAAGCTTAATAATTTTAGATTAAGGGTACAATATAAATAACTAAAATAGTATAAAGTCTTTTTAATACTACTGCTTAACAATCTGTATCTTAGGTAGCACTATCTAGCTTTTATGAACATGGTGGTAACATAGAAGAGTCTTCAAACCCTGTACCTGTGGCAGCTTCACCACAACCAATGTCAGAGAGTGATATGGAATCTCCACCTGGATCTCCTCAAAAGCAGAAAAAAGATAAAAAGAAAAAGTCAAATACCAAATTTGCTACATTAGATTCCTTGCAGCCAGATAGTTCCAGTGATGAAGAAGAAGGTTGGTACTTGGTGTCATTTTAAATGTTTTGCTTCAGTAACAAACATTTAAATAGACCTAGATAGTAGTTAAAAAAATAATGATTTGTTGTACTTTTTCATTTTAATATATATATTCAATAAATAAATTTGAAATTAGTGATAAATACTGGCCTGGAAATTGAAGCAATAGTGCAGAATGTATTTTGCCATGATTCATCTTGTTCTAAAAAACAAAACATAACTAACACAGAAGAAGATTTAAAACAAGAGTTGATGAGGTTGAAAGAAGAGATTATTAAATTAAAGAGAGAAAATGATCATTTAAGAAATGAAATTTTAAGATTAAGTTCTTCTGAAGGTCAGCTGTAGGAATATTGAAAGTACTTTTGTAGACACTAAATAACCTAATAGAAAAGCTTTGTATATATAAATTCTCTCTATTTCTCAAGAACTAGATCAATCTATTTATTTAGTATTAGGTTTTATATTTTTACAGTTTAATAAAAATATAATTTTATTTTAGAAAGGAAAAACATGGTTGCTATTTGTACATACACTAGTGACATCCCTGTGTTGTGTGTAACTTTATACTCTTCTGTCGTACATATTTAGCATTTAGTAAATAGTAAATGGTTTAAACCTTTACAGCTAATTTTAAATAAATCCTTACATCTACTGCATGTGCGTGAGTTTTTTGTGTGAGAGGTGCTCTCATTATTTTTGTTCATAGCTTTGTATTATTTTTATATGAATACATAACTTAAATAGAATATAAAATTATAAATATCTAGTGACATAATCTGTAGTAAGAATTCTCTGAAATGGAAATTGACAAATACGAGGAGGCTTTTAGTATTTTTGATTACTTTGTGTTCTTTTGGTGTTTGGAAGGTGAAATGTATCAGAAATTGTTTACCTAAAGGCATTTCAACTTTAAATTGATACTTGTTTTCAAGGGCATAAGAGATAGAAACTCTCTATTGTTTCAGGTCAAGCATTTTATGCAGGTGGTTCAGAAAGGTCTGGACAGCAAATTCTTGGTCCCAGCAAAGGACGAAAGGATATTGTATCAGAAATGTTCAAAAGTGTTAGAGAGTAAGTTTTCTTTGAGATATTAATTTTTGAAAGTAAATATTAGCTCATTTCAAAAAAAATACTAAAATAATTATTAAATTCATAAGCAAAAATTGGTGTTTATATCCATACATTTTTACTTAGACGGGGTGCTGTTGTCTTTGAAGATGAGCCCACTACAACCAATCGTGGACGTGGTGGATTATTTGCTGGCGTTGGATACAGATTGGGTAAAAAATTACAATTGTTTTTCCAGTTATAAACCACAAGTCTGTTCAGTCAGTAAATTGTTATTACAGGAAAGTTCAACATTTGATTTGCTTAGAAAGGGGTACTTAGGTTTAATTGTTAATTTGCAGAGTATAAATTCAAACCAACTCCCAGTGATATATACAGATATTTCTGGACTATACTAAATACTTTATATATATGTAACCTTTGTATATTACAGGACAAACAGCAGATGATCATGAACCAGTGACTCCCGCAAATGCAGCGCAAGTTGTAAGTTGATTGTTCACTACAATAAATAGGCATGGAGTGCGTACATTTGTGTGTTGGTTCAATTCGTTTCTACTTTATAAACTCTCCTGGATAGGCATACTAAATAACTTTGTCGAGAAATTAAACCCTGGAGTACATAATAACGGTAACTAACGATAAAATAACAACTGAACAAGATTTCTTTATATATCAGCGATCATACATAATAGTTCTTTTAAACAATCAATAATTAGTCTGTTGTATCCTGTCTGACACCTTGACAGCACTTCTAGCGACACATATAATCGGCTGCAATCATGACATGATCCTGAAAAGCGTTAACAAAGTTTTTCGATCACAAAAGATATATCGTCGCTGTAGAATGATAACCTCGTATGTCCAGAGATCCAAACATTACAGGAAACGAAAAAATGTTTCATTTCGTCAATGATCTTTAAAATATTATTGTGTTTTCGTAGTTTTAGATGGTAAAAAGGGCTTATTTATTAATAGCATAAATAAGTGCTTACTTCATGATTATACCAGTTAAATGTCATAAGAGTCTAAGAATAAAAAGAGTGCGTGTACTTATGTACGCGCGTAAGTAGTTATACTTCTTTGGCATTATTAAAAATATAATTGATTGCATGCAAATAATCAATAACAATTAAATAATCAAAGACTGGAAAAGAAGTCATTACAGTCAATAAAATAAATAAATATTATTATTCTCTTACATTAAGTGTAACGTAAATTCTATTATTATTCGAATGTTGTTTTTAAATTATGTCCAATGCCGTAGCATCTTCTGTGGGCAACTTCATTCTGTTAATTTTGTGTCACAGTGCGCGCGCATCGTAAAATTACACTCTCATCAATTTTTCATATCGCGCCTAAAGAAGTATAACTTCAAAAATAAATAGTTTTTTCACATACGAGGTTATCATTCTACCGTGACGATATACAACTTCTCGACCAGATTCAGGCTGGCCAGTGGTTCAACTGTTTGAGGGTCCTCCCTTTAGTTAAGGTCGAAGGAAAAGCACAACAACTTATCTCCACATCTACGTTTTATAGGTATTAAGAGATACAGATTCATTAGATTGTGGTAATCTTAAAATCCAGGATCAGACCCGTTCAGTTCGGCTCAGACTATACAGGGAAGGTTTCACTGTCGACGATGGGCCACTGAGGCAGTTTGTGGACCCTGCAAATGCTGAATTCCTCAGTTGTATTCGTAGAGGGTAAGATCTGTTCAAAGTATTTTTATTTCTAGTATGCTGACTGACAATTCATTTTTAATACTATACATATTGTTTGTGTTATCTTAATATATATAAATTACGTGTCACGTTGTTTGTCTGCTATGGACTCCTAAACTACCGAACCGATTTCAATCAAATTTGCACACCGTGTGTACTTTGATCCACCTTAAAAGATAGGATAGCTTCACATAAGCTACAATTTGGCATATGGCATAACTACCAAAAAAGCATGGTGGTCCCCATGACTGGTGTTCTCCAACCATCTCCCTTGAATAGTTTACTACTTTGTAATATAACATAAACCTTAGCCACAGCAATGCTTGGCCGGTCTGCTAGTAGATTAAAAAAATAAATTCACATTACATATCGGAAACATATTGTTAAAATAACTAAAGAACTCTGTGCTATGACTACCTCTTCTCATTTTCATAAAATCATGTTCTAAAATTCAAGACAAAGTCTTGTACAAGACATATAATTGCAAGTTTTTGGGTTTTACAAATTTTAGGGAGATCCCTCCAGAACTGTCATCAGGTGGTGAAGTACGAGTTAGCTTGGAGGACCGACGTCATGAGGAGTGTCCTCGGGTTGTTTCTAAGACCCAGGCCTTTGCTGGAAAAGGACATATGCTAGGAAGGTATTTTTTTTGTTAATTATATTGATTTTTCGATTCACGAGCTCTGCGAAAACTTTACTACTTTGTAGAGAAATTATACATCAATAGATTAAAATATAAGATATTGGTTATCATTTATCTATGTTGGTATTTGTTATATATTATCCATTTCTGAAGCTCATTGATCTGTGTTGATCGCTAGATCATGGTTTGACTCTCAGAGAAACTCAAAAATGTCACAATTTTAAACAGCCCGCTAAATTATTTTTATTGCGAAACAAGTTCTGCATTGAAGTGGTTAGATACTGGTGATACATGATGTACGCGAATTAGGCCTAACTAAAATAAATCAGGTCCAGTTAAATAGCCTCAAAACTCTTGCGATTAAACCAAAATGGTTACAGGTATTACTATCAACTTTATTCTTGATAACTGTCAAATGTTCAATAGTTTGACAGTTAAAATTTATTGAGTTTGATTTTCGAAAACAGATCTTTTAGAGCATCTTAAGTTCACTTAAATTTTTACGACGTTCAAGTTGCGGTCATTACAGAATGATCATCTGTTTCCTCTACTTCAACTAACCAGGTAATTCTTTCGATAAACGGAATAACATCTTTAATGTTTAAATAACAATTGCATTTCCTCAAGTCCGACTCCAGCGACGGTGGGTGCAACCGTACCCGTAGCTTCTCAGGCGGGAGACAGGGCGGCCAATCAGCGTGCCGCACAAGAAGCCGTCGGCCTTAACGAGACAAATCCCGTAACTACTGTACAGGTAAGTTTAACCGTCTTCTAATTTTATAGATTAGCGTTTTAAATACTCTGATTTTTCATTCCGTAGAATTCTGACATTTCATAAATGTTGCTACTAAAAAAGTTCTCCACCGAAAAAGGGATTCGTTTGACCCATTTGAGTGCCATAAAAAATAAAATGCTACGTTTTTTTATGTTTTACTTACAAAAAGGTAAATTTAAATATTTACTTACTCAAGTGACCTTATACAAAAATAACAAATATTTCAATATCACGAACAATATATCGAACTAACTTCAATTACTTTATTTTATTCTTTAGCTGGCATCACTGCTTACTAATTCCAGATTTAGTAAACCTTTTTAATAAAATAAAATGTTATCTTAACTTGTGCGTTTTTTTACTGTTTGTGATGAAAAGGGACGTAATTATCACTCGCCGTTAAACCACTTTTAATGTGGAGCACCGAACTTAATAAAATGAATACATTCACTAACAAATAAAATGTATGTATAGAGTCAGATGTTCAGACTCGTATTGAAATTGAATAATGTGCCCGGCCAAAAAGGTTTGTAATCTCTGACATGTCAAGAAATGATAGCTGTCAGAATTCTACGGAATTAAAAATCAGAGTATAGATGAGACAAGACTGACTCTAGCAAGGTTAATGTTATTGAATTAACAGTTGTTGTGCATTGTAAAACATACCGAGCGTTAACAATGCCCGGTAATCTGGATTTACACGTAAACATCTTTAAGGGATATGAAATTAATACATTATTTACATAACTCGATGTACTTTTCTGTCGTAGTCGGTCATCTTGGATATGGTACGAGTATCAGTCTTCGAAAAACAATTATCAATGTATAGATTAAATAAAAACTATAGCTCCTAGTGTTTGTTATACAATTTAAAAAATGTACCTCAGTTTAACATTCTTCAAATTGTTTTTTTTTAAATAATCGCAGACGTGGATAACGTATGGTTATATTTCTTCTCAATATGGAGAAAAGATTTGACTCATTCTCTTGCACAATTTTTTTTGGAATCTGTTAAAAAGCGCATTTTTAAGCATTAGTAATTAACTAATAAGAAATAAGCTATCCTATGTAATAGGTAAATTTTTAAATAGATATCTCATAATAAAAAAATCATTACTATTTTAAATTCCAGTTTCGGTTAGCCGACGGCAGTCGCCTTACGGGTCGTTTTAACCACTCGCACACAGTGGAAGATCTCTACCAATACGTGTCGCAAGCGGAGCCGGCCTATCAGATCCAGCCATTCATACTACTCACTACATTCCCCAGTGCGGAGTTAAATGACCGCACTGCAACGCTTGCTACAGCTAATCTATTGAACACCACTGTATTGCAACGACTTAAATAAACTTGTGTTTTGATGTCGTGTTTTAATTAAGGCTTGATATTAAAGCAGAGACCTCATAACAAAATGGGTTTTTACTAAAGTGGGAGTTCTTATCACTGAAACACGTTTAAAATTATTTTGGAAAATTCCATCATCCGATTCGGATGCTAGTTACGTTTTTTGATACTTATTTAATAGAGGCCTTAATGTTAAAACCAAATGCATTTTTCGCTTTAAATAAGTATACGGTTAGATTTCATAATGTGAAACTAAGCTAAGTATATATGTAGAACTTAAATACACACTTATTTACACTGCTTGTTTTATTAAATAAAGATAAAATAACATTAAAATTTTTATTCAACAAGAATAACTAACTACATAACACAGATAAAAACAGTATTAAATTTCATAAATCGTTAAAAATATCATAATTTACAAATACCAAAATAACGTCAAAATGGTATAAAAATAACGATGACGTCACTTCACTTGAATTTAGACCTTAATAGAATTACTTAATGGCTGTTACCTACAGCATTCGGCTTTTGGGAATGTGCACGCGCATGGGTCTGTCGCAATGCATTCCGCGGGGCACATGCAGTCACAAGCTAAAAGTAGTTTAAATTTAAGGTTAAAAGAGAACACCTGATTGGTTTTTGTGTCTGCCTTCAAAAATTAGATTTAGAAGTTGTCTTAAACTCTTTAAAACAGTTAATGGATGCCTTGAATGTATAGTAATGTCTTAATTTCAAACGGCCTTTCCCGAATAAGATATTGAATGTTTCTTTTTAAAGCTCGGATGAAGTTTCTATCGACTAACATTTGTCATCTCCAGTATTTTGGGTACTTCCACTCCAGTTAGTGGATAAATATTCAAGATAAAAAAAAATACTAACGTTTACAATCTCCATACGAACACGGATCAATGTACTCGGTGCAGTCTTCACCGGGCGGGAGGAACGATGAACGGTAAATTGTTGTTCCTTCCAACTGTAACAGAGTTATTTTATGCACACAAAATTGTAAAAACCAATGTAGAAGGAGCAAATTTTCAAACAGTTTTTTTGAATGCTTTTATAGTTCCGCTATAGGAAGGAAATATTGAAACGAGTTGAAATCGCTGGATAGAAGATGGAAATCGCTAATGTTATAACGTTTTTTTGTTACTTTAGCAGGTTCATGATCCCGGCATACTGTTCAACACAGGCCTAAGTCATGTGAGCACACGGTTTCTGTATTTTGTTTGTCTTGCAAGAATTGCATGTTATTCTTGATGTCATGTAAATGGATTGAGGGGGTTTAATAGAGTGGTGTAACTGTTTTGGAATCATTCCAGTGGTGGACAAAATCACATGACATGGGTCCATGTCCTTTTAAGTTACAGAAATTTACAGATATTTCGTGGTTTAATGAGCTATTGTTTCTTATGGGTGTTTATTATCTAACTTTAAATGTGCTGTTATATTAACTTTATAACTGGTCTATTGTAGTGTAGTTTAGGTTAGTAGTTTTGTCTATTAATATGACTACCAAAGTACTCATTATTAGTAGTAATATAAGAATGAAAGTCCAGTAATTATGAAGATATCAAATGATGAAACCCAATTTCGAAGTATCTTTCGATATCCGTTGCACTGACATCACAAACTTAGGAGGGCGTGCAACAAAAGCTCTATATTAATATTACGATCGGTCGACGAATCGCTATTGATAAAGCATGATGAAGCCTGCAACTTAACGTTATAAAAAGTGTCTAAAAATTTACCTTTTGACACGGTTTTTGATACTGTCCTTTGCAAGCCCAGGGCGGCCGCTGTGGTGCTGGCACACACACAGGCTGGTAGGACATCTTCTGTGTTGTGTCACTGTCCATTTTGGCTATGAAATTATAAAAATACATTGTTAATTTTGACAACAATTTATACAGTAAATAAGTAACGAAAACAACGTTGAAATGTGCTTAGTATGAATAATTTGATAATCGAATATATCGGAAATGAAAATTATGCCACAATTTAGCTCTATTTATACAACATTCAAGTCAGTTCATTCTGTATGAACAGAAGAAATCTCACAATAAAACTTACCGCTAGGTTTCTCATAGCATCGGTTAGGAGCATACGACTCTGGTCGAGGTACTTTTCCGGGGTCCAAGAATGACATGCGGTTAACTGTGCGATCTGGAGATACAAAAGCTTTTAAAGTTCTTCATAAAAACACGTAGATATTATATTTAAATGTAAAGTTTAAGTAGAAACAGATTTTATAGTAACATTAAATTTATATCATGAATTGTAGCCTGTAAGTAGATGGTATTAAGGCTGTTTTATTGTCCATCCGGATGATATAAAAATGTATGTCAAAATTGTATGTATATGTAAATGTATGTGAACGTCGCATTACTATCGCATGTTAAAGTAAAACTATTAAGTTCATTAAAAGCAACTTAATGACAAGTGCGATTTAGGACTCTTAAGGAAGATTCCATTTTTATTGACGACAGTGCTCGCCCGCACCGTTCTGACGACGTGGAAGCGTTGGGATCCGTCGTTTAGATTGGCCAGCTCAATCCAGAAGTCCGGACTTCAATCTAATTGCATGTCTGGGTTGTACTAAAGAGACAAGAAAAATCATTGCCACGTGCTCCACATAACATCAGGGAGCTAAAAGAGGCATTGCAGAAGCCTATTCCTCAAAAGCTTATTAAAAACATAGTGGAAAGAATGCCAAGCTGTGATTTTGCCAAGAGGTCACACTCGTTATTTTACTTTTGTAACTTTATGTAATCAAAAAAAAAATAATCTTATTGTCTTTATTACCGACCACTTATTGCTTGGCCGTGTACATCGGTTTTGGAGAATTCTTCAAAAATGAATAAAAAATTGCTACAGTTAACATCACGAGTATTAATTTAAACGAGTATACAGACCACGTCAGGCAAATTAATTTAATTTATTTAACTGGAATGGACCTTGAGATTTTTTTCCAAGATTTTAGGTTTTATATTTAAAATCTCCAATATTTGTCTTTTAAAAATACTGCAGGTAATATTTTTTTTATGTACTATCTCAGAGGATTAGTTTAAGTACATTGCATATATAATATAATTTACATGCCCTATTAGAGAGTTAAGGTATTTCACACACATAACATAGAATAGTAATTTAGTGGGAAGCCCTTGGTGAAATTAAGTTAGAAAAAAGAAACCAACTTTCAAACGGTTGTTCCACTGCATGAAACTTGGCTGTTGGTTTGAATGATTCTCTCATTGGCGCAGTCTTCGGTACAAAGTCGTGTCTCTGAGTCGTGAGATTCTGCATCGGTCCCTGTCCCCACATATCGTGGTGGCAAGGGCGGATTGCTTGCGTTATACACACCGGGTTTGGTAGAAATGATAGCTGAAACAAATACTCTTGTAAATAACGAGCTAGTATAAAGTGTGCGGCGTGATAAAGATTATAATAGATTTTGAATTTGTATAATAAGAAATAGTAAGTTAAAGCAATCTGGTTTTACTACATATTCACATTTTCCAACTTCATTCTATTACGAAAAATATCTAGCTACGACGCGGAGCAGACTATGAAGTCACTAAATTTTACCCTTATCTAGCGCAAATCATTCTGAAGGGCTCGCGATTGGCTAAGATATCCATCTTATCTCATCACTACCCGTCATGATTTATACAGAATAATAAATTAAATAATTATGTGTAGATTAGTATCATATATAGGTCATATTATGTGACGGAAAAATAATAAAGAATAATCTAAAATCTTGGAAGCTAAATAAATCAACTTTAACCCTGAACAAGCGCTGAACTTAAAGAAAAGTTTTAACTTTGTTAGAAACCGCCAGCGGATGCTAATATAGTGGGAACAAACTTTTTGAACAGTGTCGCCTTCCATCGCAGCCGTTGAAGGCATAATATTTGGTACAGGTTTTACAGGCTGAGGTATTGGTGCTGTGGCGGGGAGATAACTGCAAAATACATTAGATTGGTATACATATCCATTAATGTCATTTGTTATTTATCTGTCGGATATACACGAGGATTTGGTTTATAACTGTCTTAACTAACTAAACATATTCTATAAGTGTTTTGTTGTCTTTAATATTATTAATGAGCGCAGGTTGGGATATGATGCATTATGATGGGAATTCTAATAATAAGTTCCTGTACCTGTTCTTGTAAATAGTTTGTGTTTCAAAGCGTTTCGACGCGGTCACTGGGTTATTACCGATATTAGGTAATATTGGACAACGACGGCAGTCGGCAGCTGGGTTTAAAAAACTGTAAAATAAAAAAATATGGTGTTATTCTACTAAATAAAAATATTAAAGCTACCACTATGTTTTTGAATATATGAGCCTGAAAAAAGATATTTGAGTTCTGGGTCTCTTACACTGAATTGATATTTTGATTGTATGTGGAGTAGATCTTTGTATGTCTTCCGATCCGATTCCTTCCTTCATCGGATCTTTGAATTAAACGACGTAAAAAGCAGCGTCAAGACGGGTGTAAAGCGTACACCGGTTTTCATCCACATATGTGTTTAAAAAAATAATTACCTTAACCTCAACTTTGATAGTTTAAGAAATGGCCTATAATAAGGTAACGCAAGTTAATTCACAATTGTATCACCTCATACTGTAGGTGGTGTTATCTTCAAGCTTCTGACAAGGTTTCTGATACTGTCCTTTACAAGCCCATGGCAAAGGTTCTTTCGGCAACAACTTAAAAAAATACACCAAGTTAGTTTTACAACATCGAATGCCAAAGTATGACGTCCCCGCCGCATTGAAACAGTCTCTGAAAGTACTGGTATGAAAAATCTTACTCTTAATCTACTCTACTTAATCTACCCTTACTCTGTAACTTACAATAGCAATACCGACAAGGATTCCGATCCTAATAAGTTTTAATCCCGTGGAATCACAAGGTTAGGTAAGGCGTTATCATCGTTTCGGATATTGAGAGAACTATTTGCATACAAAAACGTCGGGGTCAGTATCGCTGTCGCTATAGTATTCAAGTTACAAATGCGTATGCGTCAAAAAATTCTGTACAAATACTGGATACGTAAGTATTTTATTTTTGCCAAATTCATGATATAGCAGGGATAGCTGTATTGCACTCATTTACTTATTACAATAAAGTTATGTTCTGAAATACGATTTGGACATGATATGTGATTTCTGCGTGAGAATTTATTCAGGTTTTTGGTCGCAGAGTTGGCCTTATTTTTTATACAGAACACAGACTTTTGGCAACCCGATGTCAAGTGTGATGTGACCTATTGGAGAGTGTATTTAGCCGCGGCTTGAATAAAACCATGATAAACTGTCTAGGGTAGATTGAAGGGGGGCAAGAAGTTCCACTCCTTTGCATTTCACAAGGAACGACGATGTCAATCGTGCAGCAACTACCAGAATTGGTCTTGATAATAACTGATACCAACATAACCGTATATCCGTGACGTAAGGACGAGAATGAACAAAGAATGCAAATGCATTATTAAATATTATTTAATCTGATCTGATCTGATATGCAATCAAAGAAATTGCATTTATAAGAACTCAGCGATAAACGCATTATATACACTAACACATTAACAATTTTCCTGCATCGTAAGTTATGCATGTATTATTGCGAACTACCTTTAAACTGTAAACAGCTTATTCAGTCCGATTACATTATACCCAGAATCGCGCTAACAAAGTATTTCCGGCAGCTGAGCATAAGTATACAACATTTCGACCTCAGCCACTGAGGCCTATTAGGGGCCCTTTAGGGGCTACTCTTCCTCCTCCATAAAAGTGATATAATAATACGAACTTGGTTAGGCATATAGCTTAGTTTATGCGTCGTGCTAGAGTCCATTTTGGCGGCTGGTTTTTCATAACACCGCTCTGGCGCATACGATTTTACCGGCTCCATCTTATCCGGAGGCAGATACGATAGCTTGTTTACTGTGCGGTCTGAAACAATTTTAAATCTAGTTTCTCCTTTTTTATTAAGTCTTTAAGTTCGACCAGAGGCGTTGCCGCAATACTGTAACCGCATATGATATGTTTAGGCGAAATAAGTATTATGATAAATCATTCGGTATGAAAATAACACACAGTTTTCTAACCTAAGAACGCAATTGTCACGCTTGTACGGTACGAATCACGTAGAAAAGAAACCAGCATTTTATTAGACCTACTAAAAGTCTTAATTGCGCGCTTAGTAAAGATAATAATATAACAGTCTGGAATTGAAGTGACAACTTCAAGATTGAGTTGAAAGCTTTCTGGTATTATTCTATAGTTAATATAACTGTATAGTAAAGGAGTGTAAGTTTTTTTAAATGAATGTATAAGTTTCAGTATATTTAAAGAAGGAGCAGTGTTGGCCAAGCGTGCGTCTCTCATACCTGAGGTCGTAGGTTCGATCCCCGGCTGTACACCAATGGACTTTCTTTCTATGTGCGCATTTCACATTTTGCTCGAACGGTGAAGGAAAACATCGTGAGGAAACCGACATGTCTTAGACCCAAAAAGTCGACGGCGTGTGTCAGGCACTGGAGGCTGATCACCTACTTGCCTATTAGATTAAAAAATGATCATGAAACAGATTCAGAAATCTGAGGCCAAGACCTGAAGAGGTTGTAGCGCCACTGATTTATTTTATTTTTTTATATTTAAAGAAGATAGAAATTAAAGCGTAGCTGTCCTCCTTTACTGTGTTTATTTCTTCATATAGGTATTACAAGATACAAGGAAAATTTTATCTGGGGCTATGTCGATCATTACGATGAGATCATCTTTCAGTGATTATTTATTAGATTACAGTGGGGGTTAAAATAACAATGACATAAACGCATAGCGATATTTGTAGCGGTCAGCAGTTCGCTATATCAATTATTATTTATGACTTTGCTTTTACTGCAATTATAATTATGTTTATTTATTTATAATGCGCTATTTGACAAGATTTTAAAAACCATTTAAGATTATTTATTTGTTTATTTAGAACCTACACTGATCTCTTTAATTTAGGCTTTTAAAATTTAAAATAAAATTTATAATTTCAAGAAGCCGGTTAGTATTAGACAGGCCAAGATATATTATTTATTGGCATGGTAGTAATCGTCAATTGTGTTAATCTGTGACGGTTTTGTATCACGTGACTGACGAATAAAGATTAATTCTATAGATATTTTAATTTTTTGATACATTAATGATTATTTACTTATAAGTTATTTTACTCCATAACGCGTTTTAAAGCCACGATTCATAGAGTCATATATACCCAGCCCATTCTCTGGGTGTTTGTTTGGTTTAAGCATGCATGATGTCGAGCGCCAAATCGCGGCTGGGTTCCAATAGAATATCTTTTCTATGTATGCAGTAACACGAGTTTAAGTGTCTGTGAAGGATCTTATCCTTGTGTTTGTACTACCTACTTGCGTATTTAAGTCATCATTACAAAATAAGATGTATTGGCAGTCCGAATAATAGCCGTTAATTAAGATTCGAATGATTAAAACAAATTAGAACAATGTTAAAATGTGTAGTAACTGTAACGTTTTTGGGTAAATAAAAAATAATATTTTGAACGAACATCAAAACGACTGTTTTTTCAAGAATTGAATTAATATTATGATAATTATAATATTGTATTAGCTATAACATACTTTCAAAAGGTGTATCGACGGCGTGGAATTTCGCTTCCGGCTTGAAACTTTCGCGAAGTACGCAGGGCTTAGCGACATAGTCATGTCTCTGAGTGGTGAGGTTTTGCATCGGCCCTTGTCCCCACATGTCATGGTGACAAGGACGAATTGCTTGCGTCACACACACTGGATTTGGCAGAAAGGATAACTGAAAGTACAAAATATAATGTAACTTATTAGTATGACATTCTTTGGTATAAGTAATGTACCTTTTACGTATGTGCCTAATAAATTACACATCAAAATGAGACTAGAAGACTAAGATTAGGATGGCTGTCTGATCGCGACTTGCGTTTCGTTCGTATAGTAGTATTATATTAAGAATCTCATGTAAAAAAAAAATATGTCTCAATATTTCGTACTAGTTAACTGGGATAAGTTACTAGAAGTACTTTGGGACAGGTGTGGTCCCATATTCCAATATACAACTTGACATGAGGTCTCGCTTGGTAACTTGAAATTTTCCATACAAACTAGACAACAATTAGAATAAGCATAATACAGTAATTTTGATCATTTATTTTGTATAACAATACTATTTAGTTTATTATGTATATTTAGGATTACAGTGTTTGAATTATTGAAGTTTTCATTTGGCCCAGCCTTGCGATTCTGAAACTCACTTTTCGAACTCTCACAGTCGTAAAGCAGTCATTTTATGATTTGGCATTCTGATAAACAATAAACTACAAGCTCCCTCCTTATCAGAATGCCAAATCGTACAGAATCGCAAGGCTGTATTAACAATCGCCGTATCAATTTAAGAAAATGCATCAAGTACTTACGAGTAAATATGCCCAAACGTTCATATATTCGACATTCATCTGTTTAAGTACCCTTTGATTTGAGTTTAAAATTTAGTTATTTTTACGGTTTACGTGAGTAACGATCGCAAACTTTATACAATAAAGTACTCAACTTCAAATTCTTGATATGAATCGTGGTCACCGCAGATGCTTAATCCGTTCTATTTTTTAATAAATTCAATTACCTTTTGGACTGTGCAAGACTCCATTGGCTCACAGCTGGGCACCAAATTAGGCGCAGGCTTTCGTGCTTCGCCCCGAAGATTCTTACAACCGTCAACAGGTAGATACGACATGTTGTAGGTTGTACACGACTCGATTCGCGCAGACGGCTTCATGTAACATCGCCGGGGTGCATAGGAATCAGGTATTTTCGGTTGTTTGTAGCACTGAAACCATAGTTGGCTAATAATCCTTAAAATAATTATGGGAATTGTAACATAGTTACAATTCCCATAATAACCATAAAGTTAACATAGTTAACGACGGCCATAATAGTTATATGAAAAACCAAATCACTTCATAACAGTAGGTGTTTAAAGAATTCTTCTTAGTACTCCAGGATCATGCATCATATTCATCATTTAACTACGATATAAAATTTATATCCTAGATGAATATTTGGTAATGCGAAATGTCTGATCAAATCTCTCTGTGGGTGCCGCGCGCGCTGACAATCGACCAAAAAAAACAACGAATTTCCCAAACGGTTTTTCCCTTTTTAACATAGTCGATGAATATTATACGATGCGCATCCCAATTTATTGATGCCATAACCTTCCAAGCCGACTTTTTCGTCTTTCCACGCTCGCTTTGGAGTCGGTTCATCACGTACAGTCCACTCGGCTGACTGTCGATTGGACTCTGAAATTATGAAGCCATGTTTCATCTATTGTCACATATCGAGGCAACAATTCGGATTTATTACGATTGAACAGCTTCAAACACGGCTTCAACACAGAATCATCAATTCGTTGTTGTTTGTCCTGATGAAGAGGTTACCGCCGAAACTGAAGCCAATTTTGAGGCTAAAGACAAATTGTACTGTAAAAATAGTATCGAAAGATTTTATGACCGCCATAATCGTTGTACCGCTCTCAAAGGCAACTGATAATATAATAATATTGAATAATCAAATCAAATTCTACCAACAAAAAAAATGATTTTTTCTATGTCAGCCTACGAACTTTTCAGCCCACTTATTAATCATAGGATTATTTGTCAAGTGATCATTAAAAGTCTTTCAAGCCAACTGATCGAAAAAAGTCGAAATTAGAGACTTATTAATTAGGTACATTAGCGAGAATTAGCATAGATAGCGAGAACTAGTAATTTAAAGTTTGAAAATATATATAAAAAACTTCAAGGTAACCTGGAAATGTTATTACCTATTTCACAACTACAGTTTAATTAACTTAGTTGGATACAAGTCACTTATAGACATGGTAATACGCACTGGCTTCACCATAGGTGGTTTTCCACAGCAGCAGGTCCTGCAGGGACAGGGCTGCTCCTGCTTTCCATCTATGGGTCTCCCGTCCCGCAAGCCTGATTTTATACCGGCAGAGGGCGCGCAAGGATCCGCAGCGGGGCATGGTACGCACCTATAACATACATAATCAAAATGCCTTTCGGGCTAAATAAGGACTATCAATTACATTTTTTCTAACAAAAAAAAAATATATACATATATATATATATATTCGTACCTATCAACTTAATGCTGCATATTTTGACTAGCTTATATGCAATCCCCCTCATCACCGAGGTCGTAGGTTCAAACTTACCTCTTATGGTGAAGGAAAACATCTTGAGGAAACCGGCATGCTGGAGACCCATAACGTCGAGGGCGTTCAGGCACGGAAGACTGATCATCTACTTGCCTTTTAAAAAAACAAATGCGACACAGATGCCAACAGAAATCTGGCCCAGACCTTAAAAGGTTGTAGCGCCACTGGTATAGTATAAACAGTGTAAATATTGCATTAAATCTTTCAATCATTTTACAACAAGTATTTTTTCGGGTATAATAATAATCTTTTGTCGCTTCTACCAGCCTCAGATTGCATCGAATCACCAAAGGAGCTTTGATAATTTTTATTTCATAGACAAGTAGGTGATCAGCCTTCTGACACATGTTAATTTGAGACTTGCCGGTTACCTTAAGATGTTTTTTTTTCGTACGAGGGAAAGACTGATGCGCACATAGAAATTCCAATGGTTGCACAGCCGCTAGGCCAACATTTCTCTTAGGATTTATAACTACTATTCAATCTATTAAACTATTATGGCCTTGTTGCCACGCATTAGTCATTTGCATTAGATTGTTTGTGCAATGTGCAACTAGGCTTGCTGACATTGAAATATCATTGCAATGCCAATTTATGATAAGAAATATCAATAGCTGTCGTAAAAGGAAACGATAAACGAAAACGGAACGATAAAGGAAAATCTACGTGAACTAAAATTAGTTTACTTTAGATTTTGATTTAATTTAATCAACTTTTTTTTGTTGTATTTTACGTATCGGAATATATTTATATGTAACTTATTTACGCGACAAACTATTTCTTTAAGACTTACACACGAAATAAAAAAAATAGTTGTGCGCAGTCGTAACTAACTCGTACGGTAAATGTTTACCACATTGTGAGGAAATCGGCATATTTTAGGGTGAGATTTGGAAACGAGACAGCGTTAAGTCCAACTCCCGTATGTCAAAAATGTACTGAATTTTGACATAAGGGAGTCATACTTTGCTGCCTCGTTTCTGAATCTCAAATCTCAGACTTTCAAGTCGACTTTATAATATTCCTGATGTCTTTTTATGCTAGCTTTGAAATAAACGGCGTCCATATTGCGTATGCGATAACGTATGGGTTCAAATTTCGTGTACTATTAAAGTTATTCGATATACTTACTCAGGCATGATTTAAATAAATTCTTAAAGATGAATCTATAAAAATAAAAACTAATCTAAAAACTAAATTTTGTATAAACTGAAAAGATTTTTAGAAAAACATCACTATCGAAAATGTAAAAAGACACTGTCAACTTTGAAAGATTAGACGTATGTGTTTTGTTCTTTGGAAAATGTTCCTAATTTTTAAAAAAATATCACAAAACGTTCTTATATGCGTTTGCTGTTTCATGAGCCCCTTAGGGCATGCACATTTGGTGCATTGTAGACAATACTATTTTAATGAATCAAATCACCGTATATTACCAAGTTAGCCACGAAGCGGCCTCACACGTTTTGCTTTTCATAACATCAACATCCAGTGAGTATATGCTCAAAATGTGTATACTATATAGTATAGTCCTAACAAGTTGAACGAAAATTTATTATGAATTAACAAGAAAATGCAATACACCTCTTTAGTGGGTAGCTTATGCCTACCTGATTGTTGTAAGACGCACAGCCTACTTCACATCATTTCCTTCGCCGTACGCAATTACGCACAGGAGGTCTATTACGGGAAACGAACACCGAAGTTTCGGACGGAAACGAAAGAATGACGAACTTCGTACCAAAGTACTCCGGTCGGAATAGTGCGGATGTATTTCGTTTCGAAATCATAGATATGAAGAAATTGCATAATGATTATTTGAATGACATCCTTATATTTTCGATAAAAATTTCCAAAAATTGATAACAAGTTTAAAAAGTTTTTCGTTATAAAAACTTGTAAGTAACTTGTAATTATCTGTTCTCAGAGACTTTCAAATAAAGTTTAACTAAGTTTATTTTTTGAAACTAATCCCCAATGGGAAATGCGCTTATTTATAAAATATTGTCAAAGTCGTTCTTTGGATCATTCCTGATTTTTGCGCGTATAACAAAAACGCGCCATTTTAAAATAAAAATTAATAATATTTATCGTATAAGTCTGTCATAAAAGTAGGCTATTGTTACGATAACAATTATGTCCAATAACGAAAAACTAAACGTGAAGTGAATTTGGGAATAAGTTAACGAAAGACAAAATGTCTAATCGCGAATTTCGCATCGATCGTCGGATCCGAAACACTCTCGTAATAGGAAAATGTCCGTTCCGTCAACCGAAACTTCGTATTTCATTTTTCGTAATAGACCTCCTGGTATAGGTAAATTCGTTTATAGATATATCGCGTTCTTGATAACTTTTGGTAACATTTATAATTGTGTAAATATTATAAAGATAAGATAAATGTGGTTAATTAAATTTTAGGAATTAGTAATAATTATGTCTCCATATTATCATACTACTATCATTAGACTAAACACATTAGTGTTCAAAGTTATTATTTTATCTAAAACAGATTAAAAAGTATTTTTTTATTCCTAAATTAAAATCGTGCCGGTATTTAAGTGACCTTTATTTCGGTAACAGTAAATTTATACATAGTATGCTAATCTATATATCCGGAGTGCGCTTAGGTTTGTTAGAAAGTTTTAATAAAACTGAACATTATTCTTAATTTACTTATCCTTTTTCCAGATAAACATGATAAACTTTAAAGAAAGCAGCTAATGAGGGAAAACTATTATCATGTATGACTATGACCGTTTCGTGGTATTTTATGTAAGCATGCATTGTGTACTTTACAAATAACCAGTTCCTTTAATATTCGAAGTCTTTTAATTGCTTTACATTATTTCAGAAGATTGTATGTTATACTAAAGTTATATTAAATTCGGTAGACAATTATTATTTATATATCTTGCGTACTCTACGTGGGCCATGTTAATGTTGTGTGATGCATACAGAAATAGCAGTTGAAACAGAAATACAATTCTGTTATAATTCTAGCGTCTTCTTATATCCCTACAATTCGTAATATAATTATAATAGTTTGATTTCACTTATTTAAGCAACTTAGTAAGATGAATAGTAGGAGGAACCTTACATCTTTATGGATGTAACAAATTACAGAAGTGTATAGGAAAAATGGTTGATGCAAGAATTAAATGAATAAAAAAGGTTTATCCCTGTACTAAAATTTAGATTGATAATGGGCTTTGTTCGCAAAATATATATAATAAGCCCATAATGCTTGTGACATTCCGTGTATTGAGGGGTAATGAATAAACCTCATTATTTGAATGAAATTGATAACACTACACAGTATACTAGTCAACCAGTCGCGTTGGCAACATCTTACTGTGCGAACGTGTTATCTAAATATCGCTTCTAATCCCTCGTAAGTTATTTTTAATTTGTCACGATTAGAACCTAATCCTATGAACCATTCCTTAATTGGCGTAAATTGAACTTACAAAATTTGTAACACTAGCGAATTAATCTAAATTGGTATTAGTAATACAAATGTTTTGAAACTAACACTCTCTGTTTTAGTTTTCGCGCTTCAATTTTGCTTGTTTGCATCTTTACGTGAAAAATTCTACCTATAACGCCAAACTTTTATGGAAAATATAAAGGAAAGGAATAGAAAAATCATCTATTATTTCTATTATAGTGTTATTTACTGTCTTTATCACATATTTTTATCAACAGCCCAATGTTTGTATTTTCAAGAAAATTTATATTTTAGCAGTATAAAAGTATTACAGTATTTTAATAATAAGTAATTGCATACAGTCCTGTAGAGGCATGAAAAAGTATTCTATAGTAGTTTTTTGCATTATACGACTGTTAATAAAAAATAAAAATAAATATATTTATAAAAAAATCAATGGCGCTACAATCTATTTAGATCTGGGCCTTAGATTTCTGTATTTGTTTATTATCCTAAATAAATAATTGTATATAAAGGAAATGTGTGACTGTTTTTTAATTTTAATTCTAGTTTCTTTTAAGGTGATTCTTTACGATATTTTAATAGTTATTCTGCTCTTTGGAGCGAAACTAATAAAATTTACCCCGCTGTTCTTGTTTTTCAATAAAACTTTTAACAAATATTTAATGATATAAGGATATACAATATCAGATTTTTGTAGTGTTAGTATTGTGTTAATAAAATTTTGTAGAGTCTTTGGTAGCTATATAATAAATAATTTGAGCGTACACGTTTGAAAAGTAGCGTTAAAACAGAGAATAAACCTACGTCAATAAGCGTACTTTAAAAAATATCAAATGGAACTTCTTATTAAACTGGCTGATTAAAAATATATTAATAAAAATGTCATTTTAGACTAACGATGAATTGTACATGTGACTTTATATTGCCCACGCAAGATGGTTGGAATAAACATTATGACAACTGCAAAACGATTTGGAAACACGATAAATATGAATATCCTAAGTAAGTACTATGTAAGGAGATTTAAATATAACATTATAGTTATCCAAAGAACTAAATGAGATCAAAAATTGTGCATGTATTTGTTAAAATTTCCCAAAACTTAGTCTTAAATATCTGTGGTGTGGTAAAATGAGAACTAAAATCAAAATGTTTGGTAGGTTTTAATTAATTTTCTATAAAATATTTGTCTCGGCCTCGGTCAATGGGGAGATCGCAATTTCTAATACATTGGTAATTAAAACTATTACCACTCTTTTGGTTAATTCAAATATTAAACATTAATATTGTGTTGCTATACTAAAAGAGTTAATAGAGTTAGATGTGTACATTATAAATATTGTTTAATAAATGGAACCAGAAATATACAGTTAAAATGTTATTTCTTCTGTATATAAATATAAATCCTTTTAGTGGTTTTAGTGTCTTCTTCTGCATAACAGGAATAAGACGTCTAAAGAGAATGAAACCTTTTGAGTTAATACACCTAGTGTAGTGAATATAAATGCAAGTGCGGTACCTCGGACACACGAACATAGTGTCAAAACACTATAGAACACTACGACTGTTTATGAACATTACCTTAGTTTAAGCTATACACTAGTATTGTTGAAAATTAAGTCAACCTAACATTAGTTATTAGCCATAATTATTGTATATGCTAGATTGTAGTTCAGTAGTATTAGTAGTACACACTAGTACTTTATTAAAATTAACACGTAGTTTCTATTGGATTATTTCAGAAATAAGGATGGGTCAATGCAACTACCAAATAAGCACTTATCTAAGCTTGACTGTGACATTTTATACCATCTCGGATTTGATACTGCGAAACATGATCTACCAGCAATGTTTGGTGACGTAAAGGTATGATTTTCTTTTTAAATTACTATTTTAAATGACTTACAATTTTCGGGTAGCTCAAGGTGTTTCAAACTTGTTTAAATTTTTTTCCTGTTTAAGTCATGCACATGAGAACTTACAATTATTATTTATAGAAAAAAATAGTGGTTTAAAAACACGCTGCTAATCTACTATTGTACGCGTAATTTATTTAAGCCCTAAAAGTGATTCTTTTGAACTCTTTAAGTTTTAAATTTAATTACAAATATAAATATTTGTGGTTTATTATCATTTGCTAAATGAATTTTAAGACTTAAACGCTTAGTTTTACTACAGTTTAGATAGTTTAGTATTCGTTTACGTTAAATACGATAATGTTAGCCGTTCGGCGCTAACGCATCAATTTATATTGTATTGATTACACGAATACCAATCAAACGATGTTCGTGCTTCAGTTCCAAATACTAATAGAGCGCTATTAAAGCTTTCCCTACCTTAGTCCATATGTTACTATCCTATTACTTAAACTATTTGTTACCATTTATAATTGTTCATTGAAGCCAATATAATCCTAGATTACAACTTCAAAATCTAATATTGTAATAACAAACAATTCTAGTTTGTATGTATGGGAGGAACTAAATACAGAATGAAGGACGTAGCTGCACACATGAGTAAGCTATTGAATATTCCGTGTGACTTCAACAACATGGTCAAACAAGCGCATAGATACGTTATGTATAAAGTTGGGCCAGTACTGTGCGTTAATGTGAGTATTTTTCTTTGAAGAGGATAGTATCGCACGTATAGTTTGATTAAAGAACGCATTGCAATTGTGCTGCATTATGCGCTTGACGCTTGGCCTTGGCAATGAGTCATCACTATCCGATACTATTTATCGGACGTAGTAACCCATTAGGTAATATGACTGGTTATATCATCGCTCCAATTGTTGCCAATCAGCTGTATAGAGCTTGTTTAAACTACTGAATCAATATAAAGGGGGAAGAATACATGGGAACAAATTTATGAAGGAATAACTATATAAAGACATCTACTGATTATTATTTTAAATATATTACTACTTTTTTACTTAGCCTATCTTTTTAGTAGCTACATACTTGCTAAGCTACTCCATATAGACTTTTCGCTTTTCCGGAATAAAAACTCAAGTATCAAAT